CTGGTTTTAAATGAAAATTACATTTTACTGTAACTAATGAAACAATTAAAAAAATATTCTCTAAAATAACTATAATTTGCAGCTCTCAGTTATATTAAATTATGCTGAAATACTTAGAGCACAAAAGTTCTTGTTAAGCAGTAATTCACTCAGTCCAGAGAGAAAGTAAAATAACAGATTTAGCATATAACCTATAAATTGAAACCTGCTTTGCACACACACAAGGTTGATGATAATGTGAATGCAAGCCATTAAGATAATTTTTATTTTATTGGTATCTAACAAGTTCTGTAATTTATTATAGGTAGAACGTCTTTGTGTGCGCTGTATAAATGAAGCCATATATAAACTACAGAAAAAAAATATTTTTAGTTCCCTAGCGTAATCTAAGTAGGTATTGTAATACTCAACGTTTCATGACTCTCAGAGTGTGAAAAAAGTAGATTCCCGGCTTCCGTCCGTCTGTCGTCTGCGTGTGTGTCGATTTTTTTTGAGACAGACAATCTCCGAAACTACCTGACCGATTGTTTCAAATTTGATGACGTTGCCTCATCATTTTGCGTAGTAAGGATCATCCAAAATTTAAAAGAAAATATGCAGTTACTTTATTTTTTTGTGCACTGGTTTTCCTATATTTGATGTAGTCGATATCTCGCTCATGCATCAAATACCTCGTTGTCGAGTTTATTAGGTAGATGATTGTCCGACTTGTACTCTGTCTGTCTAAGGGTTACTTCAATCAATGTCTTCTCGACGTTTTATGACCCCTAGAATACGAAAAAAATAGTTCCCATATTTCAGTCTTTCTGTTGTCTGTGTCTACTTTCAATAGGCAGAGGATAGATAATCTCTGAAACTAGTCTACCGATTGTTATCAAGTTTTATATGTGATTTAAAAATATCGCGTAGATGGGAAAGCGCTAACCAAAATTTAGCTAATCATCCCCATCAATAATCAAATGACGCAATTTTTTTTTTTCATATAAACTCCTATTTACAATTTATAACAACACAACATACACTTGTACTTAATTACGTAGCTTTGATTTTTATCATTACGTTCCAAAAATTTTCCAGAAATCCCTGTTGACGCATGGATTTCTGCGTGTTGTAGCGAATTTGAACTTGTTTTAATTCCATCTTCGGTGACATTTTTTTACTTCCCCAGCGTAAAGGAAGGGAGGATTGTAATCGAGTCCGTCGGCCGACTCTCTACTTTTACATTTTCTCGATCTTTCATGACCCATAGAGTACGAAGAACTAGGTCTCCCATTTCCGTCTGTCTGTCCGTCTGTCCGTCTGTCCGTCTGTTCGTCTGTCCGTCTGTCCGTCTGTCCGTCTGTCCGTCTGTCCGTCTGTCCGTCTGTCCGTCTGTCCGTCTGTCCGTCTGTCCGTCTGTCCGTCTGTCCGTCTGTCCGTCTGTCCGTCTGTCCGTCTGTCCGTCTGTCTGTCTGTCCGTTTGTCCGTCCGTCTGTCCGTCTGTCCGTCTGTTTGTTCGTCTGTCTGTCGTCCCGATTTTTATTAGAAAGTACTGGGCCGAAAGTTGTCAAATTTTGTGTTTATATTAGTTTATCATGTAAAACGCCAACCAAAATTTGTCTATTCGTCGCCACCAATAATGTGATGACGTCACTTCAAAATTGTACATAGTAAATGGGTTTTAAATTGTTTAAAGTAAGATAGTCCTACACATGTAGTTTATGACGCTATGTTCAGTTTTTACCCAAAACGTCCAGATTTTTGGAAAAAAATCAAAATTATAAAACAAGATTTTGCAATTTAATTTTAGTAAAAAATGAATGTAAGTGGTATCAGTTTTAAATTTCAAAATTATTCGCTGACATGAGGCTTTGATAAAAAAATATCATTTGAACTTTTTATCGAAGTACTTAATTACATTTGTAAGGTTTTTATCCACAAAATTTTGAATTCTGTTAAATCATCGACAGTTAATTGAGCCAAGGGGTACTTTATGAATTATGACTGGAAAATCAAATTCTTTTAACGAATTATAGCCAATTTATAAAATTATTCCAGACTTCGACACACTTTTCGCGAAAGATTTTTTTTCTATAGTTGCCTTTTAAAAATAAAATACGTTTATATAATGGATTTGTATTAATAAACAAAAACAGTTTTATTGTTTAACTGTGTATTTGTCGTTTTTACTTACGTTGTAGGCACTTATCAAAATTTTGACGTCATCAAGTTTTTTAGAATGAATAAATAGGTGAATATGTAATTGATTTACCATATTCATGCTATCTTTCAAATCTGTGTAACAGAATAACGGGTTTCATAATTTATAAGTTAAATTATAAAAATTTGTTGTATTATTTTGCATATATGAATGTATAAGGTTAAAAATAAGGTGGATTATTAAATTACAGGTGTAAAAGGCATATTTTTGCACATTTAAATATGCTTATGTACCAAAAGTCAAGTTAGACAGTCTGACATTTTTGTGATGAGGACGATTAAACAAATTTTGTTTGCGTTTTACCATCTACACAATGTTCTCAAAGTAAAGTCTAATATTTCGTGCAATCAATGTAGTTTTGAAGATTATCTGCCTTATGAAACGTCAACAAACTACGGACAGTCAATGACAGACAGCCAACAGATAAACTATAGGCAGATGACTGTAGACAACAATGGGAGACCTACTTTTTTATATTCTAGGCGCTATGAAATACCGAGAAAACTTGAAACTACCCGTTCGCTAAATGGATGTTATTATTTCCCTTGCTGACGCTCGAGAAGTAAAAGTTTCTTCACTTTGTTCATTTTATATGAGCGTTTTGTCAAACTACGTTTTCGAATTTTTTATGGAAATTAATTGTTTTGTCCTAATCTTGTTGGTATATCAGATGTCAGTAAATTTTTGCTAACACAAATTATATGGGGTGAACAAAAATGATTGTAGTCGAGTCATCCTCGACTTTTAATCTGCATGTCTTTGATAGACTGGTACTGACATGTCAAATAAAATGATAAATATAAACACGAAAATGACGAATATGAAGCCAGATTTTCAAGAAGAGCCCCTTTATCCTGTAATGTTTACCGATAATGTTTACTTAAAAAAAAATATTCGTAAATGTTTCTGTTCTGAGTATCGATTAATTAATTCCAACGTGGTGCCAAGTTGATTATGTACAGTTCTTTTTTTGTGTATGTTTGGATTCACCGTGCTCCAAATATTATTTGTCCACGTACAGTACCGTTGGTTTAGGCACCACAATTATCCATAGCATTTAAGATAAGGACATAAGTCTACACTTTCAAGCATTACTCTGTTAGAATCATTATTGATGACTTTATAGTTTTCTAATGTAAATGTATGCAGAGCGTTTTATCCGTAATCTGTTTTCATAATAAGATTCGCATCACCAGGATCTCTTAAAATTAAAATCTAAGATTGACATTGTTAACATTGCATCGTTCTCGCAGTCTCCATAAAAGTGAATGTATGAGAGTGCAGAATAAAATCAACATTAAACACACATCTTTCTAAAGACTAGAACAATCACTGCTGATTCTTCAAGTAGTGTCAAACAACTTTTGTCAAGTCTGTGGTCTAATTTTTAACTTAGTTACACTTTTTGACTCAGCTTTTACCATAAAACATTAATTGTCGATAGTGTTAACATATTAAGGCTGTTAGCAAACACTTCTCTCTTATAAAGTCATAATAATGCTGATGTTCATTCTACCGAGGGAGCAATAAAAAGCACGATTATGAATTTTTGAAAGCTTGTCTTTGATCATTGCCTTCTCTATTCAAATTTTCACATCAACTAAATATAAAATTCTATCAAAGACAAATCTTCAAAAATCCAGGCTGTTTTTGATCGTGTATTGCTGTCTTGGTATTATGGAGTCCATAAAATATTACTGTCGTATAACCAACCCATAAGAATTAAAATCATAAAAACCAGTTTAGAAATACACATATGTAGATAGAATTTGTCGAAAACATTAATTTATATGATTAAATACCATTAAGCGCACATTAGTTTTAATACAGAAATAACGGAAAATTTGGTGTGTACCAGTGGCGGCTCCTCAGAGGAGGCAGGGGAGGCTGAGCCTCCTCTGTTTTTTGGAGCTGAGCTTCCTCTAATTTTTTCGATGAAAGAATTTGTATTTTTATAGACATTTGTTACTATTCAGAATATTTTGTTTGATTTAATTTACTTTCATCATATATCAGGTTAAAATATCGAAAAAAATTATATTTGCGCCCTTAAATCATAATTCACACCACTCCGCGTTTGGCTTCAGCCGTAGAAGCTAGCCTCCGCCGAGAATGCATCTTACTATTGAGACGGCAACCTTGACGCATAGTCATTCAGCACTGCATTGGCTAAAATGTTCATCGGGGTGCCGCTTCAGGCCGCTAGCCTCCGGCTAGTGCATCTCTTTTCAGATCAAGTCGGACGGATTATTTTATCTCTTTCTTATTAACTCGCGCGATCGGGTGTAAATTGGAAAAACATTGAGGTGGTTTCGCGTGCTCCCTATTCAGTGGTGAATGGTGTTTAGGCTTTAGTACCTACGTAAAACCTAAGGTGTTTTTTATATCATTTATTTGCGTTTTATTTCTGATCGTTAAAAACAGCTGGTATTATTGGCATATTAATATTACTTATACTTAACGAGAATGAGCAACGAAAATAAGTCAGTCTCATGTGCAGTGTAAAGGCATGAAAAATCACAGGAACACATATTTTCTTCTACTACTTTAGATTCCGCTCATAAGAGGGATATTGAGAACTATAACGAGAAAGTTGGTGAAAATAGGGCAATTTTGAAAAGACTAATCGATGCAATAGTTTATCTATAGTGTTCTTTTCGTGAGCATGACAAAAAAATTATTCAGATAATGAAGGATATAAAAAGTATTGGTTTTCAAATTTGAGCCTCCTCTGAAGAAAACTTCACGAGCCGCCACTGGTGTGTACATCTTGTGTTTTACTCGTTTTTTTTTTTTTCAGAAATCAAAATCCAGTTATGTCAAAGCGGCAACACAAATGGTGCAACCTCAACAACCACAACCGCAGATCCAAACTGTACAAACCCCATATTCGCAACCGCCACACCAAAATCAACAGTTTCTAGAACCACCTCAATACGTAGCCGCAATTCCCATGCAACCAGTGGTTCCTGGATTTTCACCAACGGGAGTTTTGTCGCCTTTACAGGTAAAATACAAAACATGAACAAAAATCAAAAAAATTAAATTTTTTTAAAAATCCAGCAATTAGACAACGTCTTGTTGACGCCGACCCAGACACAACTACAGTTGGATCTTCAAAGAAAACATGCTGAACTTCAAGCTCTCATAGGACAACAGCAGGCTGAACTAAGAAGGGTGTCCGAACAACTTCTTATGGCGAGACTTGGTTTATTGCCACAAGATCAAAATGTATGTATCGATATTTTATCGTAGTCATTGTCAGAAGACGGAATTATCATTTTTCAGTTTTCGTCTCAGGTGCCTATGCCATATCAAGGAGCGAACTCCGGAGCAGTGAGCAGTACTACAGCTACAGGTATTCAGTCCAGTAGTGTAGGCTCACCGTCACTTATAGTACCTGTAAGCATGTCTTTACCTTTACCTCAGCACCAGCCAAATATGTTGTACACTCTCTCGGACATAAGTGGACAAACGAAATCGGAGTTTTAGGTGAATGATTTAGTGAAATAAACCAAAGACTTTAAGTGCCGAGTAAGAGGAAAAAGACTTTGGCTCAATTCGTTATCGTAATCCCCTACCTCCAAGACAAACCCCTAATGTATGATAATAAATTTAAGAAAATAGGTAAATGTATTTAAATTTATTGGTCGCACAAACAAATTGGTTTTATTTTCATTTTTGTTTATGCATTCAGTTGACGCAAGTGAAATAACTGTTATTAGTTTTTTAAATTTTTATTGTCTTCCTTTTAACTGTTTTTTTACTATTTGATAAGTGCGATCTTATTGACTGTCAATGATTTTTTAATGACGTGTCTTTTGCTAGAAACTTCCTTCCAGTTAACTATGCTCTTGGAACAATTTAACTTTTAGAAGTAATATTTCATTTATTGAAGCATTTAGAACATTTTTACTCATAGCCAATTGGAAGAAATTTCTTTTTGAATACACGTCTTCTACGGCTCTAAGTTACGGCAACTGTGTGACTGAAAAATAGATATAGTTAGATAATAAAAATTTTGCCCACAAAATAATTATAAATAAATTATAGTCCAAAAGGGTAAAAATTCAGTGCTTTCATACTACATTGACCATAAGTGAGAAATATCTACTATAAATTGAACCAAAAACCAAGTAACACAACTGTCGTGAACTGTTAACAAATCTTGTAAATGGTTGGAAGACAAGTAAGAACAATGCCATTTGTTTTTACATTGTAATATAATAATAAAATTTTTTGTAAATTTTATTTTTTAACAAGTCTATGTATATAAACTCGAATAAGCGTTTTTGGAATGTTGTTATTCCACTTAGATAGAATTTTTTAAATGTGATACAAACTAATACACGTTGTAACTCACCTGTGTAACGTAAAATTGTAATATAGATATACTATTTATTTATGTACCTATCTGATGATTTTTTTATATAAAAAGAATAAAGAATATTACATGTTTGCTCATACAGGGTGTTAATAAATTATTTACATCTAGTGGGCTACGAAATTCACTAATCAATATGCCGCTCCATTTGACTTTTGCTACAATCTATCAATTATTTGTCAAACTTTGAATCAAATTTTAACATTTATTTTTTTAAATCACAAAGGATACTGAAACATGTGGATGGAGAATACGGCCCTTTAAATGTAAATCATTTATTAACACCCTGTATTTTGTTTTAAACCATTCTTTGTGTGACGGTTAATTTTTAAGTGGAGACATGGCAATTGAATATAAAAGAACTACAGTGTAGAAAATCACATTTAAATAGCTAATATGGCTGCCATAAAGCTAACTATACAACGTGTTATTGAAAGGTACGTACAAAATAAAATGGGCAATTGGTCTCGAAGTATGAGTACTAAAAGTTAAAAAAAGTTCAGGTAAAAGTGTTCTCCTTTTACAGATAAAAATTATTAAAATTCCAAATTCGTTGTACGCCTCTGATAAACAGATCATCTTTCGTTTCTATAGCAACATTTAGTCTTCACAAAAGTTTTATTGTTACAGTTGCTAGGATTTACTAAAATAAATTAATTTTACCTCTTTATCCTTCAGTAGCGTCTAAAAAAGTTGGATAAGGGTGAACTTTCCGCTTATAATTTTGATAACACAAAATAAGTTTTTCAGACTTCTTAGACTTCGCGAAGGACTGCCCATTTTGTTGTACGTACCTTTCAATAACACCCTGTATACTTATAATTAGACTTAGATCTGTTAGCCAACCTATCCACAATAATAATACATAGTACTAATAATAATAATAACATAAAACACGGGTGGGCGGGTTTAGTATCTGATAAAATATGACTGTTTTTGGCAAATGAGATTCCTCTAAGAAAATAGAGGGCGGGTGGGCGGGGCTAGTATCTGCTAAAATAAGACCGATTTTGGTAAATGACATACTCTCTAAGAAAATAAAGGGTGGGTGGGCGGGGCTAGTACCTGCTAAGATAAGATTGATTTTAGCAAATGACGTATCCTCTAAGAAATTGAATTAAATTATCATAAGAAAAGTCACTAGAGGCTCCAAAGCACTTTCAAATTCTTTCTAAACAGAAATACCTAGAACGTCAAGATTGTTTTAAATTTTTCAAAAAAAAACGGGATCCAAAAATTAACTCAAAAACAGGTCAGGTCAGAATTTTTCAAAAATAGAACACCAAAGTCCTCCAAAATTGTTTTTAATAACTTACAAAAATAATCTCCATGGACTCCCAAAATAATACACCATGAGTACCCAGGAGTCCCCCGAATTTAAAAAAAAAACAAATACAATGCGGCACTCAAGACTTTTTCGCGTTCATAAAAAATAAAACACTAAAAGCTCAGCTTGTACCTTCGCTTTATGTCAGGCAAACATTGTTGTCAAATGGAATTTTATCAAATTATTACAAAAACAACACAACCATTTGATTGTTAAGAGCGTAGCGGAGAGTTAATTCGCCATTTTCCAGACGCCCGGTATATAATAAAGAACAACCGAAAGGCAAAATTAATCATCGAAACAAAATCATCACATCAAATTTTGGTACTAAAATGGAATATGATAGTAAAACGAGGGTAAACAAATAAAACTTAAGTAAATTAAAAACGAAAAATGGTTTATGCCGACAGAAATTCAAGACATAATGAAAATATGTGTCCTAGTTTGAAACTTTAATTTTCGCGCCAAGAAATAATAACAACACCGCTAAATCGCCTTGAAAAAAAAAGGTAATAATTCCAATAACGTAGTCAATGACTCATGTTTTAGTTTGGAGGATAACGAAAAATATCCTTGGGTTGGTACTTATAGGGAGTTTGGTAACACAGTGGTAATAGAACTCTAAAGCGGCACTCATTTCCTTTTTTTGGTATTTTGACTGTAAACATGTATTTAAAATTGGTACGTAAAATTTTGTTTGTAACTTCGCCAAAAATCAATTGTCTAAACAAAAATGAATCACTTCCGACATCACTGTCTCCCTCAAAGAACGTTTTTAATGTAAAACCAATTAATTAGCGATTTTCTAATTTGAAATATAATACTTAATACCTTGGCAAATTCGTAAACACGTGTTATTTTTTGTTTTATTGTTTGTAGATTCACAGTTCGTATTAAGATTTTTAACAGTTGATCGAGCTGTTTATTGTTATAATATAATAATGGAAATGTTCCTGTAAATCATGTGACAGGAAAATAATCCGGGGCTCGAAAACGGGAGAGCTTTAATATTTTCTTACAAGTTTAATAACTTCTTATAGATTGAATTTGAACATTTGGTCGAGTCCACGACGATATATAACCAGTGAACACACCATTTTAATATTGTAACTTTGTATTACCCTGTTAGTTTAATAAAATTTAGATTTCTTTTTTTTCTTTCTGTGCTTAATTTTGTGATATTTAAATATTTGTATGGATTTGTATTATTTGATTTCATTCTTGAGGGCTGGACAGAGCTTTTTGGAAAATGAGTTCCTTCTAGCTTATTTCAACAGATTTTGCTCATCCAGAGCCAAGCAATAAAAAATTTACCCTCTATGAAAAAACGCATACACAACGTAGGATTCCATTTTGTTTCACAGCCCAAGGAGAAGTTTTGAATTTTTATCGGGTTTCATAATTTTGTGCACATGTTTCAATTTTGGTGGGATGTTTAGGTTACCACAGACGAAAAGAGTATTTAAAGCACTTAAAACAAATATTGCTCCAAGCGTCAAACAGTTCTTTGTTAAAAAAAAAAAAAAACTGTAGAATAGGTAAGTTTTATTAAAGAGTATTAAAATGTTATTAAACAAGAAGTATTTTCAATAGAAAATAGTACATATGTCAACAACTTACTCCTAAACCTATTAGAAAAAAGATTGTATATTAACTATATAGTTTGATTCTACACAGTTTTGTTGATTTAGTATTGAAATTACTTAAAGACAGCAATATCCAGAAGTTGTAGTATTTTTTGATCAAACACTACATCTGGTTTTCAGTCACGCAACTACGTTTCTTCCTTCTGGTACATTTCCACCTTGGTTATAAACAAAATGTATCTTTTAGGCTTTGCTATAGGTCTTTGAGAGATTCAACTAATTCCTCTACATCCGCCTGAGATTGTGGTTTTATAGTAGAAATTTCTATTCTCTGATCACAAAAATTATAGCTAACATCGAATCCCCTAGGTATGGTAGCAGCATATTCCCTGTTAAAAAAAAAAATTACTTGACCTTTGTTTTCACATTTACTTACATCATTTTTTCTTTCGCGTCTTCAAAACTTTCAGATACATAATACACATGCTGATACCTCGTTAAAGGATACTTTTCTATAGCATCTTTAAAGGGATCAAAAACTTTGTGTTCAGATTTATCTCCTAAAGCATATTGAAGTTCGCCGTAAGAGGACAACAGTCCAGCTCCATAAGCTTTTACACCATTTCCTTCACGACATAAACCGTATTCCACTGTGAACCAAAAACACTGAAACAATATCTGCTGTAGCGACTTCACCAGCTAACAATATGTTCATTGTTCATACTGTAGCTAATTTTTCGATGAAGTCGTCTGGTGCACCTAAAGAAGCTAAACCAATTTGTTGCGAGAACTGAGCGAAAGCAGGATCAGCTAGAAGTGGAACATGACCAAGTAGTTCATGACAAACATCTGGTTCTGGTGTGTAAAAAGGTTTACTTGAATGGCGAAGATATTGTGTTGAGTGGAACACTTTGAAAGCTAAACCTGCCAAGAAATCTCTCGATAATAAAAGACCTGATACTGGACGCAAGCTAAAACCAGTACATCCTGAAAAAGATTTAAGAAATTATTTGTAAAATAAAAAAATATGAAAGCGTTTTTTTTACCCTTTAAAAAGTTTGACACGTCTTCAAGTTGTGGTATATTATCTTTTCTGTATTCACATTTTTCTATGAGGAGGGGAAATACACGATTGTATTCCTTGCAGGCATGTGTAGGATATAAACGTGTCAGTTGTTCAAAAATTTTACCCCAAGTTTCAGTTTCCTCTTTTGTGTACAAAACATGAGGTAGTTTATCACCATGTTTATAATTGTAAGCAAGATCGGCAAAATATTGTCGCCTAGCTCGATAAACTGGGTCGGTGAAACCTGGATGACCATCATTTAAATCAGCACCAAAGGATAAAATCCGATTTGCATATTTGTCAAGTTCAGAGATGTGTCTAGGAAACCAAGGAACTGCGTCTTTCTTTGGTATAGTTCCGTCTTTGCTTTCTTTAGCGGTAGCAATGATCTCCAAATATTCGCCTCCTTCTCTCACAATCGAATAATTCTTGCAAACAAAATTTTACAACTTGTTTAGCGTCTCTTTCGGCATTTTGTTACATTAAGAAAACTTTTATAATGTTAGTAATCAATAATAATTAAGTGATTATAATAAATTTTTTCAATTGATTATTGCCTTATAGTAGAAAAGGAATTAGAATATCTGTTTCTCAAATTTAGGTGACATATAGTGAGATCAATTTAAAAAATGTGATTTCTAGTGGTAAATTTATGAAAACTAGTTGGTGTATGGAATTTGTCAAAAACCTTGCAGCAAACAAATATGTAATGGCAAGAAGAAAAATTTAAATACAATATTTTTTTTTTGTACCATAGACTTTAAAAAACTCAATTTCAGATGTACATATTATTCGCTTATGCTTATTTTTTTAATTATAAATACTTACAGTAGTGACTTCTGTATTCATATCTTTAGGGAAAACTGTTGCTTAAAACGATTCACAGACTAACTGAAATTCACTAAGAAATGGCTCTTTTATTTAACCATGGACAAATTTAAACCTACGACCTTTAGGAAGTTTATCATAGGTACCGTGATTATTATATTAAAATATCGTATGTTAAATCTGACGAAATATTTTTCAACGTGGTGCAACACACTTAAGCCTTCTAGAACGTTTCATGATCAAACTAAACATGATTTGCAAGTTACATTTGAGACAGTTGTTGTTTTTACATATTTTCGTTTGTTATCATGGCATTGAACTAAGTTTTGTTTTAATTCCAATTATAGTGCTGCCCTTATTTGTAAATAAAATTATTCTAAGTCTATTTAGACAAAACTTTCCACGCTCCTGAAAAACAGAACAACATATTCAGGTTTTTCGAAAAATGATGAAATTTGATTTTGTGAATTTAATTTTTTATCAACATTTTAGCAAAAGCACGTATATCAGTTTGGGTAGGTGCACTGTAATACTAATAACATGTTTTCTCAAAATTTTTTGGCAAAGCGAATGAGCCCTTCTTAATTTGATTAGTAAAATAAACTCTCATTCAATTTTTTAATCACCCTGTATAAGCAATTCTAAAAATATGAATACACTGATAAATCACAAATATAGACTTATATTATAATATTTTATACATTTTATCTTGAGAAGAGATAAACGGATAACCTTAAAACGTTTGCAAGGTTTCAGAGCATTCGGTTTTGCAGTTTCAAACTTAAATTATAAAATGTTATATAATTTCCATTTTTTTCCATAAATTTGGACGAATTCATAAATCACATATAGGAGTACAAATTTTGAGATGACGTCATTACACTATTGGCAGGTATGATTAAACAAATTTTGGTTACGGTGTACCATCTACACGATATTCCCAAAATATCTATAGAATTCGACAACAATCTGTCCATTATTTGTCTAATAAATATATATCAACACAGACGATAGGTGAGGGGGTGATGACAGACAAAAACGGGAGACCTACTTTTTCATAATCTAAGGGTTATGAAACGTTGAAAAACCATGAACGTAGCCACTCGCCAAAATTCTCTTAGCTTACGCTAGGGAAGTAAAAGTCTGCAGTGTTATTTCAAACTTTCCTTGCCTCAAAAGCACAATCACTACGACATTGGTTGCACTTTTTTTTAAACTTTATATCAATCATTAAATGCTTGTTTGTTTTTAAAACTTTTCAAAGCATACTTTATTTCCTTTTAAATTTGTCTAAGCATACTTTTTAGTACAAGCCTTAAAGGCAACAAAGTCAGTCAGTTTTAATTATTCAGTAACCCCCTGTCAGAATACATATCTACGCTGCCGAGGATGAATTTTAAAGCAGTTAGTGGAAAAATAGTCGATAGAGAGAGATAAATCAAGCCATAACAGATCAAATAGCAAGCTTTCTATTACGTGACTGTGTAAGTCTGTCAATAATCTTTAATGTGACTCTTAGTACTAGTACTTTTCCCTTAAAGTCGAAAACCTCTAAAGTTAGTCCTATATTTAAATCAGGTGAAAAATCGAATGTCAATAATTATCGACCAATATCCCTAATCTCAAATTTTGCTAAAATCGCCTAATTTAAACTTAATGAGTGCTCAGGTATCCGGTATATTTATTTTTTTATATTTGTACTTATTTTCTTACTTTTTTTTTGTATTAATAATACTTTAGTTTATTGCAATTGCTCTGTAATAGGTTCTTATGAGCTGTTGGGCAATAAACATATTATTAAGACCCACCACTGACCCGGAAATGACCGGCATTCAGGCAAGACTTCTATCATTACGGGTACTAAGACCAAGTAATGATATGCATTGATTAGATTAACAAAACAACTTTCGAGATTCTAGAATTACAGCATACAAATTAGTCTGCTATTATTCTTTAATCTCACCCCATCCCCAAAAGTCTAGCGTAACTACTGATCATTTATCCGCGCATCACTTGGAACGTGACCTAGACTACTCTGACCTACTGGTGCTAATCTAATCTGACTGACATGATCAGACTGTTCGAGAAACTTACGAACAATATGACATGTTCCTAACAAAACAGCTTTTTGAATTTTGATAATTATTGAATCATTCAAATGCAAAGACTTTAAATTCTCAACTAAGCTACACCTACATTAGAAATAACTAAGGGTAGAATTGAAATTTTTTTAAGATTCAACATGGATTTCATTTCTATCGATAATTGTAGATATTTTGAAATCTTGGTGTGGTATGTTTGAATAATGTTGTTTGTGTTAGGAATAGCAATGTCAATCAGAATGGCTTCGTTCGTGTGTTTTTTGATAAGTATGATGTCTGGTCTGTTAGCTGTAATGTTTAAGTCTGTAAGTATTGTGCGATCCCAGTATAATTTGTATTTGTTATTTTCAAGGAACGGAGATGGAATGTAAGTGTAATAGGGTGTCGTATCTTCGATTAAGTTCATAAGTGTTGCTAATTCTTTGTGAATGATTTTGGCTGCGTTGTCGTGTGTAGCTTTGTAGTCAGTTTGTGCTAGGATGCTGCAGGAGGAGATTATGTGCTGGATCGTTTCAGGTTTTGCTTTGCAGAGGCGACAGCAGTCGTTTCTTATATTCGGATCTTTGGTGATGTATTTTCTGTAATTCTTGGTATTGATTACTTGGTCTTGAATAGCAAACACAAATCCTTCTGTTTCGGCATACAAACTTGATTTTTTTTAATCAAATCAATGACATCTTCTTGTTGACATGAGTTTCTTCTAAGTCTTTGTAGAATTTTCCATGTAGTTGTTTTTGTTTTAGCCCACTTATTATTTTGTGTGGGGGGTGTGGATTTCTTCGGTGTTCGACAGATTTAAGGGTGTGTGGTTCAAATCTGCCCTTGTGATGGTGCGATAGATTTCATTTCTTTCTGCTCGTTTCAAGAAATACTTCTTCATATCTGAGATTTGTCTCTGATATAAGTTTTCTAGGTTCTGGAAACCCCTTCCTCCATTCTGTCTTGGTAATGAGAATCTTTCAATGGACGATTTTGGATGATGCCTTCTATACTGTGTGAAGATTTTCCTTGTTGCGATGTTTAAATTTTCAAGATCAGTTTTGGACCATTTAATGACTCCAAAAGAATATGTTAGCAGTGGAAAGCAGAATGTATTTACTGCTTTCATTAAATTTTTTCCATTTAACTGTGTCTTCAATATTAATTTTAATCTCGCTAACTATTGATCTTTCAACTGTGTTTTCGTTTTGGTATGATTGATGTGGGAGGATTGACAAAAACCCAGATATTTGTATGTATCATTTCGTTCTTGGGCTTCAATTATTTCGTTATTCTGGGTTATATGTGGCACTTGGTGTTGGAAGCCTTTTCTGATTGCTTGGGTCTTACATTTCTCAATACCAAAACACATACCAATATCACCGGAAAACTGTTCAGTCAGATTTAATAGGTTTTTTAACTGATTTTGTGTACTTGCAAATATTTTTATGTCATCCATATACAGCAAGTGACTTATTCTGTTTTCTCTTTGTTTGTTAATTCTTACATTGAACCCATAATTGCTGCTGTTCAGGATATCGGAGAGAGGATTTATTGCTAAGCAGAACCATAACGGGCTAAGAGAATCGCCTTGAAAAATTCCTCTTCGGATCATTATTGGATCTGATTGAATTGTTTGTTCATTTAAGGTTATTTGGAGGGTGGTCTTCCAAAATTCCATGGAACATTTAAGAAAAGTGCAGATTTTAGTATCAATCAAAACCAAACTGATACCCGTATAACGAAAAAAATTTTGTATAATTCCAAAATTTTGCATAGCCAGGAATGAGGGACAGAATCGTAAGCTTTCTTATAATCAATAAAAGCAGTATATATGTTTCGGTTTTCTTTTCTAGCTTGTTCACAGATGATGGAATCTATGATTAAGTGCTCTTTGCAACCAAAGGATCCTTTAATACATCCTTTCTGTTCTTCATTAATGATGTCAGAGTTAAAACAGTGTTGATAGATTTTTTGTGTAATGCATGAGGTTAATATTTTATAGATTGTCGATTGTCGGTAAACATGTGATAGGTCTGTATTTTGATGGATTTTTTGTGTCCTTATCTTTAGGTTTTAGGTATGTTACACCATGACATAAGAATGTTGGAAAGGAGGATGGGTCAAGAAGGAACTGATTTAAGTGATGTAGTAAATGAATATGTACACAATTTAATTTTTTTATCCAAAAATTATGGATTTTGTCTGGTCCTGGTGATTTCCAGTTGTGTGTGTTATTGATGGTATTTATTGATTCGGTAAGTGTTATCTGATGATCATTCATTGGTCTAACTGTGGATAGTTTATGGGATATATGAGGAATCCATTTGGCAGATTGATTAAATTCAAATTCTTGAGACCAAAGTTTTGACCAAAATGTTGTTACATCCTGTGAACTTGGAAGTTCACCGAATAATTGAGTTTTGCTTGAATTAGTTAAATGTTGATAGAATAGTTTTTCGTTGTTTAAAAATTTAGTGTTATGAATTTTTCTGAGATGTGATTGTTTGTATCTTTTAAGTCGTTTGCTACATAAGGAAAGTTATTCTTATTATTCTTATTATTATTAATATTAATATTATTATTAATGCTTCAGCAGATATCTGGACACTGAGAGGATTCTCATGTGAAGGGTGGTGGGACGTTTTTTGGCCCATAAACACATTAAGTTGGCGGAAACCGTGGAAAAGGTGTCTTGGTTGTCCGTTATCCTATACATTTTGGCCACAATGACAGTGCTCCTATGGTCGATTAATTAATGCACCCTAAGTTGTACAGCTAGGACTATTTTAGATAACTTTACAGCGTCATAATTCATAATCATAATATATTAAGAATCAGCATTATGAAAACGTGCACTTAAGATATCGCTGTGAATTGAAACCATTGATCAACAAGGACTTAATAATATGCTAGAGGATCGAGATCCGTGGTGAGTGAACCCATTGTTAACCACTGACGATGGGCTGGTAAATGGTGTCTATTTTTTAAATTGGACCTGCATAAAAGTGTTATATTTGGGGTGTAGACTGCGCCATTTATTACTCTTTGACCGGACTAATTGTGATCAAATTTGTATGTATATGTTTTATTATTTGATCACGTAACTTCAAAATTTTGCATGGTAAATAGTATCAGAAACCGCAAGTACTCCTATGAATCCGCTTTAGGTCACTTTTTACTTCCAGAACATAAGCTAAGGGAGTATTGAACTATTAGAACATGTAGACCGTATGGTCTATCCAACAAACAGCTACTTTCATGTTTTCTTGACCTTTCCTAAGTCCTGAGTGTGAAAAAAATTATTTCACGTTTGCATCTCTCTGTCTATTGTCTGTCGTAAATCCTATCCAAAATGTATAAAATATTATTATTCTTTACTTATAGTTTATCAATGCGTTCATATTTTTTAGAATTTTTCTAAGAAGCTAGATTTGTTGGACTCTACTTAAGGAATGTGGGAAGTTCATTTTATTCTGTCTTCCTCGAATAAGTCTTTTTACTTCTTAAGCACAAGCTAAGGAATTACTGTAATCGAATCCATCGAACGACTGACCACCTTCATGTTTTCTCGACGTTCCATGACCCCTAGGGTACGAAAGAACAAGTCTCCCGTTTCCGTCTGTCTGTCTGTTGTCTGTCTAAATTTTTATTAGACAGATAATCCTCGAAACTACTGGTCCGATTGTTGTTAAATTTTATATGTTTATTAGTAATATCGTGTAGATGACGTCTTATGGACGAGTGCATTAGTAATTATTATTTCATTTTTATAAAATTAAGGTACACCTCCACTTGTGTGGTTTATGAATGTGGAATTTTTACTCTAGACATCCAGATTTTTGGAAAAAAATACAAAATTGTATGTACAACATTTTGTAATTTAACTTTGAAATTGCAAAACCGTTTTAAGGTTACAGGAAGCATGATAAATGGTTAATCAAAATTTATTCGTTAATGAACTCTCCACTTAGTTTTTTTTTATTTTGCCCCATAAATATTCTTCAAATTTATGAGTATTTACGGTAAACATTCAATTTTTTGGGAGAAAACCCAGTGTGTGCAGAGGGGAGGACTAATTAATTAATCAATCAAATTTTATTTTCTTTTAACATTAATGTCACCGCTGATGCTTGTAATGTTAACGTGCTAATAGTTATAGTGGATATACCACGTGTTTCTTTTATTTGATCCAACCCCTGAAACTTTTTTATTTTTAAAGATAAACATATAGTTCTTTAAGCAAATTTGTATCATTTTGAAAGATTACTTATGTGAATAAATGACACGAGTGTCAATTTTTCAAGCTACTAGAGTGTCATCAATAAATATGAATCTTTCGTTTGTTTTGTTCAATAACTTTTTAAGTATTGATTAGAATATTGGTTGCTTTTAATTTTTTAGAAAAAATCAATTTTTCCATTTATGAAAAAATATACCTTGTATTCCATAAAAAAAGTTGACGTCATTTCTGCCATTGGTTTTTACTTTATAGAGGTTATCACAAAACAATAATAGAAAAATCAAATTTTATAATTTTTCGAATTTGTTGGACTATACGTCAAGGGTTATCGAAGTTCTGTCGAAACAATCTTCGACCATTTTGTTTCTGAACTATGCCAAAAATGTCGGTTCGTTTTCGTATTCTGATAATAATAAACGATATGTTTATTGCCTGATTATGGATATGATATGTGATGTGAATAATTGAGTACTTCTCCGATGTAGTTGAAAATGTCAGATTTTTTCAATTAGATCACGTTTTTCTTAACAGTTGCAAAAACGGGATAAGTAATGGTACGAAACTCTATTGTTTTACCAAAGGAATAAATATATGTATAAAAAATTTATAAATATTATTTTGGGCCTGGAAATACTTTTAAAATGACTAGTTTTCTTCTTTGTAGTACAATCATTGTTTTTCCTACTACTGTACATTTATTTTTAATTTCTACATGTTTTCCATTTTGGCCAAACTTGTTTTGTACAAGAATCTTCAAATATATTATTGTTTTCATTTTATTAGTAAAATATATACATAAAGTAACAAATTAAAATATCACTAACACTACAAAACAACTATAATAAAAATTGTAAGTAGGTGTATTCGTACTTGGTTTTGGACAGAGTTTGTATATGAATTTCATAATTCAAACATATTAATTACAAACAGTACAGACAAGTAAACTGACTACCGCTAATTTCGTAATACTTTGTTCATACGTATAAAGGTATAAATGTGCTTAAAAAAAGTTTATAACTTTTTGAGAGAATCGACAAGTACGGATATTTCTGTGCCGATGTTGGTCACCAAGCTTTGAATTTGGGGTTTCGAATCCAGTACTTCTATGCTTTGCGTGTAAGGGTTGTACCTAACACCAAATCCCCTAGGTATTGTGGCAGCATATTTACTATAAATTGAAATTAACATTAATCAACTTCAAATCACCAACTTTTTTCTAATGTACTTACATCATTTTTTCTTTGGCATCTTCAAAACTTTCGGCCACATAATAAACCGGCTGATACTCCGTAATAGGATATTTCTGAACTGCAGTTTTAGGCGGATCGAACGGCCTAATCTCTGCCTTGTTCTCCAAAGCGTACTGCAGTTCACCATAAGATGACAACAGTCCAGCTCCAAAAGCCTTCAGTTCACCCCCTTCACGACATAGACCGTATTCAACCGTAAACCAAAAGCACTAAAATGTTATTATTAGCTAACGTGAAACAGGAAACTCGTCGTTTTATTACAGTGGCTAATTTTTCGATGTAGTCATCAGGAGCACCTAAAGAAGCCAAACCGATTTGTTGAGAAAACTGGGCAAAAGCAGGATCGGCAAAAAGTGGAGCGTGTCCAAGGAGCTCGTGACATACATCCGGCTCCGGTGTGTAAAAAGGCTTGCTCGGATGCCGGATGTATTGGGTTGAATGGAAAACTCTGAATGCCAAACCGGCCAAGAAGTCTCTTGAGGATAAAAGACCGGCGACTGGTCTCAAGGTAAACCCAGTACAATCTGAAAAATATTTGAGATTATTTGTCGTAATTAATGATTAATTAATAAGAATAAAAGTGGTCGTAGACGATTCTGAAACAACTTGATCTTCTTAGACGAGTTTATGTTATTTTGAAAATAAGCATAAAAGTAAAAGTAGAATTTCCTTTTTTCGTTTAAGTGGTCTGACACGATAATAAAAAGTAAAACGGCGTTCCATAGTCTACAACCTGCATTTCTTATAATCGAGCAATTTATATGCACCAAAACCAGCAGTAAATGAGGACACACAAGGTTAAGCGTATTTTTACCTTTTAAGAAGTTCGAGACGTCTTCGAGTTGCGGTATGTTGTCCTTCCTGTATCCACAATTTTGTATAAGCAGGGGAAAAACATGATTATGTTCCTTGCAGGCATGTGTGGGATACAAAGTCGTCAATTGCTCAAAAACCTTTCCCCACGTGTCAATTTCCTCATCTGTGTATTCCACATGGGGTAATTTCTCTCCATGCTTATAATTGTAAGCAATATCAGCAAAGTATTTCCTACGAGCTCGGTACACGGGATCTGTGAACCCTGGATGGTCAGAATCAAGTTCTGCACCGTATGAGAGAATTTGGTTCGCAAATCGGTCTAAATCACGAATGCGTCCAGGGAACCATGGAACTGTGTCTTTGTTGTCTTTGTAGTCTCGGGAAATGATGTTAAAATATTCACTGTTTTCTTTCACTTCGATTATTGCCTTAGGGAGATTGCCTGTAGGTGCACATTCAACCATAAATTCGTAGTTTTCAAGGTTTCTTGTAGATGGTCGAGACTCTATGTGGAGAAGGTTAACTCTGTGTTTTTCAAAAATGTTGAGGCATTTTGCAAGAGCTCCGACTTCTTCGGCTAATGGTGCGAAAACGATGCAGGTGCTTCTTGCCGAATCGCGGCCTATTTTGATATAATTTCCACCCGGCATCAGCTTTGGCTGTAAAATTTTAAAAGTTAATAACCGTTTTTGATATTAATAAACATTTCAAACACAAAAGATGAAAGTGTACTCACATCTGGAATCATTTTTCAAACAATCGTTTAACACTGAGTTGAAATCACTGTTACTTGACTAAACAGCTGCACTTGGCACAAGTGTCTTTGAATCATTAAATATTTCGTAGCCTGATCGAGTTTTATAATACCCTTGTGTTTTTTCTCAGTATTTACGGTAGCAATTATCTGTTTTTCTTTAATGGTAATTATAAAATTGTAACTTCTACAGAGCCTTGCATCAGATACTTTTGAAATTGGGATTTTGTAGTAAAAGGAAATCCCACCGGATTTTTTACGTCATGTGAACATTGACCCTTTTTACACTCACTATTTAGATAGAAAGAGCATTTGGATCAATGTACCAAAATGTAATAATGAAAATAAAAATAACATATTTTAATAACAGGTTTCAGTTTCGCAAGATCTGTACCTATTTGTGCTTGGCTGAAAAAGTTTGCGACAAGGTTATTTAAACGTTTTTATATAATTTAAAATGCGGTTATTGCGGTAATGTAAAAAAGCAGGAAAGATATTTTGTAAACCAGGCTTTTCCACGCTTCTGTTTCCGTTTGGTGCTTTTTCGCGAAATGAAAAATAACAATTTTATTGTGAAAAATACAGGCGAAAATTTAGGGTAGGTGTTGCTGGTTATTACTATTAAGTGTTTTATTTATCCCTGTTTACTTTTCTGCGTCAAACTGAAGACATTTTCTGTTATCACACTTATTTATTTTATCAACAACGCAAAACATGCGTATCATGAGTTTTAGTTATTTTCACATAAATATAATGGAGGCATTATATTCTAAGACAATAAACACTAACGTTTTTTCATAATTAGAATATTGTAACAAGATAAAATATTTTCTATAAAACAAACAGGAAAAGATTTGGAATGATCAAAAATTTTTTTTACAGAGTGGCAGAATATAATATAAATTTTTAAACATTATAGAGCGTGCTTTCAAAATACCGATCGTATGCAAGCTGAGTCATTCAGTGCTCATGTGTTTATAAAAAACCAGTAATTGTTCTTTTGTTAATTAATATACCCATTAAAATTGTTTGTTTTAAACGTTTTTAATATAATTCTTTAATAATATAAAATTTAATGTAAAAAAATTGACAAAGAAATAATTTTTACTGTTCAGTCTTATCTAACGTAATTAACTAAAACCACACATTTTTGTGCAACGGTGACCTTCTAACTTATGAATTATAAGATTGTGAGCACAATATTCATAGCAAATCATAAATAGTTTCTATGAAGTGATAAAAAAATCTGTCTTTGTTTTAATTCGGATGAATAAAATATAACTTACGGTATCGGGAGGGCTTCCCTGAGGGATTTCCGAAGTCTTCTTGTTTCGCGCCTTTGCGATATTGGTAGGTTGGGACATCATTTTGTTTCCTTCACTGTTTCTAGCGAAAGTAGTCGTTTTAACGTTGTTAACAGACTGAGCTATCGAAGAAAACAGGATCTGTTTAATAGTTACGGACTTGTCCAGCTAAGTGACCCTTAGGCTGCTTATCACTGTGTATCTGTAAAGTTTGCTCTTTTCGAATCTTATGAAATATTTTCAAATTTCACGTAATGATTTCTGTTTTTTTTTCAAGTTTCATCATCTGAAGAATACTTCAAAACAAAGATAATTAGGGTATTTATAACGGTGTTCTTTCGAAATTCCACAAACAGAAAAATAACTGTGATGCAAAATGTGGTAGTTTGAACTTTAAAAAGAGGTTTTTGTAATTTATGGAATGTAGGGGGTGATAGAGCACGATGACAAACTTTCAACAAAAATTGAGTTCTGACTCAATTCGTAAATATTTCGATCTGATTTTGTTTAGGCAGTATACGTAGGGCGAGATATCGTTATTAGGTGCCTTAAGGTCTTACCCTAACACGTTTTAACCTTATATCACTTAAGTTTATCACTTTTGTTTATTGAAATGCTAACAAATTATACCCGCGAAGATAGCAATGAAACGACAGCCGACAAAGCTCTAGATAATGGTAGTTAAACGGAAAGAAAATTAAAAATCGTAAGAAACAGTGTTAGATAATAACACTGATATACTGGGTTATAACTGTTTCTTACATCGTAAGTGGCTTTAAAAAATTAAGGTGTATCGATTTGCTGCTTTCCACTTTTGTTTAAGCCACCTACTATGTAAGAAACATTTATAATGATCCTGTGTCTTACTGTAACTTTACGATTTGATGGGGTTGTTATTGTTTTCCTCTTAAAATAATTTTAGTTGTAACGGAAAATTAATATTCAAAAATTGTTTGCTAGTTGGTAATTTTCGTCACCTTTGTTTTATTGTGTCCAAGTACCTTATCATGACTCACCTTCCAATAAATAATTCTTTTCGCTTAAATGACCGTCTTGTCGTATAATTTAAAGTAATTTGGAATTTTCCTCTCTTTTAGATTTTATCTGAGACTAGACTGGTCTTGAAGATAAAAATTTTTCTCGAAATTTGTACAATTCCTCATATAAAAAATATTTAATGTCATTAGGCTAAATGGTTATTAACGATTTTATTATTTAACTGGCAAATAATTTAACAGAAACTAGTAACTGGAAAGTTCTGTCACAGGAGATGTGACATTAGATTTGTGACACTTTGTATCTACGACAGAAACTGGATTCAAACTATTTAAGTTTGAGTATACTCTTTATTTAATGTGAAGTTAAGAACATACCCCCCTTGAAGTACAATCAAACAATTCCAGTTTTTTAAAAAAAATATAGATACTAATACCAGTTACAGTGTAAGAAAAAAAGTCACCCATGAAACATTTACTTCACGACCTTGTTGGTATGACGGTCGAACCTACCAATTCAGCCCATGAGCGAAGCTTAGTATTTGTCTTATATTAGTGTAACCCAAATCTTGTTATAAAATTTAAAAATCTGGATCTCTAAGATGAAAAACCAAGATGGATTCATAAAGCAAAAGTGTAGGAAATGACACATGGTTACCTTCTACACAACGTTCTTAAAATACTATAAAATTTGATAACAATCAGTCCGGTATTTTCTGACTAATGCAGACGATAGACCACAGATCGGAAATACGAAACCTGTTTTTCCATACATTATGGGTCAACAAATGTCGAAAAAACATGAAGCAGCATTTTTTATGCTCGAGCAGTAAAAGTACAAAAAATATTTACAATACCGGGTGTTTGGAAAATGGCGGATTAACTCTTCAGTACGTTATGTACGAAGTTTTGGGAGTCCCAAAAAAATAATTAAAAAAATCCTTGATGTAGATTAAGAAAAAAATATATAATTTTATAAAAGTAAAATTGGCAACACTGCACGCACCTAAGGCGTAAATACATTCGGCTTACTTTCTGATTTCTTAAGTAAAGACGGTGACTGAAATCCACCTTTTATTTTTTTTAGGACAATAACCATAACAACTAGTAGTCATTAATCGTTGTAATCGTTGTGCATTATTATTAATAAAACAAGCTGTTATTTTTCATTAATAAATAAACCAATAAGACATCTGATTTTGGCAAATACTCTCTACTCATACTCTCTAAGAAAAGAGAGGGCGGGTGGGCGGGGCTTTTACTTGCTAAGATAAGACTGATTTTGGCTAATGATGTTTTCTCTAAGAAATTTCATTAAATTATTATATGAAAAGGCACTAGAGGCTCCAAAGCACTTTCAAATTCTTTCCAAACAGGAATTTTCCAAAAATAGAACACCAAATTCCCCAAAAATTGTTTTACATACCTAATTTACAAAAAATATCTCCACGGGCTCCCAAAATAATGGGTATTAAACTAAACACTGCGGCAGTCAAGATTTTTCCAAATTCATAAAAAATAAAACATTTAAAGCTCAAAAGATTTTTTCAAGTTCATCCAGCAACAAAACATCAAATTCCTTTAAATTTATCCGAAAATAAAACACTAGGGGACCTAAAATTAATGTACCTATATAATATATGAATAAGGTAGGGCAAATGAAGGAACACATTTTAATTGGTGGATCATTTTTTCCAAGGCCTATTTAAATTTTTAGCAAAAGTGCTGTACACTGTCACGCTGACATTGACGTTCGTCAAGTTTTATTTAAAAAATGACAGGCTGCTGTATAAAAGGTTGTCATAACCGTTTAGAACACGGAAAAATCTTTAAAAGCATTCCGCGAATGCTGTCGAACTTCCAAGACAGGGGCGAGTATATGACGATCAGATCATTTTGCAAGGGATCAATGGATATTTAAAATTTAAGAAAATGGAAATAAAAAACCTGAACTAATTGATTTTTAATAAAATCATTTTAATTATTTCTTCTAAATCTTGTCCACTTGCGACGCTACTGTTTTTTTGACATTTATTAGGCGGAATTTTGGATCAAAAGTTGCTGTCAGGGGTCATCGTTTGCTCTACCTTATTAATATATTATACCTATAGGTACACTACCTAAAATTAACCGGGCTCATTTTAAACGTAAATTTTTAAAAACTTTGACAATTTTTGATACGTCAAACATTTTTAACTGCTTACTTGATTTTTGCTAATTTGTACCTTCGCAAATATTGTCAAAAGGAATGTTGTCAAATTATTACAAAAACAACAGAACCATGTCTTTGTACATTCTAACTGAAATGGTAATTAAACATGATCATGGGCGAAACGATATTAACTAAAAGTTTTATTACTAGTTATGAATGTGTTATTTAGTTGTTAAACGTAGCTAAAGAACTAATTTTAAAATCATTATAACTCCACCAAAATGTGAGAAGGATTTTTTATACTATTTTTTTCCACACTCACCAGTTGATTGTTAAGAACGTAGCGGAGAGTTACTAGTCCGCCATTTTCCAGACACCGGTATATTAACAAAACTCATCAAGTGATATTTTGCGATTTTTCAAAAAAAAAAAAATTATTTGGACGTGGTAAAATGTTTTAAAAATTACAAAAGTGTATAAATAAGTTTCTGTGGCTTAATTATAACCACATATAAATTTTTTATTTTGGTAGACAACATGTCAACACAACAAATCAATTAATGTGACAAAATGGTTCTTAAGTGGTTAACTAAAACTACCAAAACTAGAATACACAGTTAGAATACGTATTAACTAAATGTAGGACTTTTCTCTAAATAAAATTGATCGGGTGATTTTTTAAATTTGTGCTCTAGTTGGGCATGACCCTTACGTCAAACGTTTCAATTGTACTGCTGACGTACGTGTCATGGCCAGCTACAACAAAAATTTAAAAAATCGAACGACAACCATTTGCACAGAAACTTGTGTTATCACGAAAATTAGAGCCAAAACTACAAAATTAAAGGTTTAAGAAAGAGGTATTAGTCGATACATTTTTTTTTTCATAGTTTCTGTAAGTTCAGAGTAGCTTGGATATTACTAACATTAATTTAAACGACTGCGACCCTTATCACGATTACAAAGGAGTTAAAACTGCATTCAGCAATGAAATTGAATGCATATTTGAGTGTTAGGGCTGGTTCAGATCTTTTTGTTTTCATATAGCATATATCATCTATAAACGTACTCGTACTTTAATATTTCGTGAAGTAAATTTAGAGAATCGATTAAAAGAAGTTCACACTTGCATTTTTTTTTGCTGTAGGCTAATATTACAATTCATTTAAGTTTTTTTCATATACAAAAAGTTTTTAAACTTCTAATATAACTTTTACTACGTCACAATGAGTTACTCTTTTAATTTTAGATCTATTTAAGCTCAACTTAAATCATACAAGCAACAATCTTAGCCCAGTGTACAGGATGATACAGGATGACTGAAAAAAGTCAAGAATGAGCCAATTTATTTTAGTGGTCAAATCAAGAATAATTGCCCATTTTCCCGAAACTTTGAGTATAAAGTAGGTACCGTTATTATACTGTTACGATGTTCGTAATTAAGATCGACGTAGGTAAAACTCAACAATTTATTTCACAGTAATACAAAACTACACGACTAACTATATAGCGATTATGTGCACAATAATTCCCACTGGAATGAATTTGACTAGACTCTACTTCTCCCATTGTCTGGACTTCACTCGTTGACTGAGACTCCCTGAATAATCCTCATTTCCGAAGGCGACCTCTATTTAAACCCATACTTCCCTTTTAGACGTTCCGCTTCCAGGCTTTTCTTTAGCGAACGCTGCCGGCCACCGTCACCGATGATGACCCACCCATCATCGCAGTGCATCTAAAAAAAAATTATTTCGTAACCATACTATTACACTGTACCTATTCCTTGGTATAGTTTCCTTGCTAAAAATATTGATACAATTTTAAAAAATTATGGATAATAAATAAAACACCTTGCCAAATTTTGTTGTAGAAAAATCACTTGAAACTTAGGCATAATATGCTTCTTTATCAGTACTTTAACAGTCCACACATATTTTTATTTTAACTTGTAGGGATTATCACAAAAAAAATCCAAAAAAGCTGTATTTGTTCGAGTGGATTACACCAATTTTTAAACAAATATTTATTAGTATCTTCCGTTTCAATCGTTTTTTCTTTTTGCTATACATGTAGAATGTTATTATTTATTAACCTCAAAAAATTATCAAAAATGTAGACAGACACTAGTTTCCTGTTATGCTTAAGATAAATTGCTATTTCTCTGATGTTGATTTATCATGATTTGTTCAACTACTAGAAAAACAAAACTATTTACAGGAAGGGTTAGCAAGGATATTTTTTGTTTCAAAGTATTTGTTGAATGCAAAAACAAATAGCTGTTGAATCTTCTCCGACGACTAATGGAGACTGCAGAAGTAGGAAAGCTTCTTAACTTATTAGATTACCTGTACAGAATCTTATTCATTGACAAAACATTTTATAATACCTGCAAGGGTGGTAGTTATTAAAACTAGACTCCATATGGTAATTATTTACGATATGATTGATTGGCAGCAATGACAAATGTTGTATACAAAGTAAACTTCCTAAGTCTTCGATATCTTATTTGATAAGTACAAAATCCTTAAGTTGTTATAAGTACAATAGTCTGGTAAATATTTCCAGTGCTTATTTATTATTTTGGCAGTCTATCACTACGTAATTCCCTCAATGACGTTTATTAGTTTCTATTATGATTGGAATACATTTTTCATGGTTGAAATGTTTTAAAAATGAATGGGAGATAATTTTGCAATTCATTTAAACTTGACCCGTAAAATTTTCTGAATTGTGTTGTGTAAAATGATAAGCACATTATTTATAGTTGCCGACATCATTTATAAAGAAACGTCTTGCTCAATATGTAAGGCAAATCATGCAGATAAACGCTTAAAAATTGGGATTAGATATAAATTCGAATTTGTTATAATTTATTGATTTTCTGAAGTAAATGGTTTTAAGTTTTAAAGTAAAGCTACGAGTACATTCAGGTGATCGGGCCAAAATATATTACAGGGAATGTACTTAATATTTGTGGGTTTGTCGGTAACATCTTAGATCGTCTAGAATAATTAATAAATTATTATTTATCTATTAATTTATTTCCTGTTTAAACTGTCAACATCAACATTTAGTAAGGTACCTATTCATTTTTACTTTACTTTCTATAAATTGACGTTTAAACTTTATTAACTAATATTTGTCCAGCTGCAAAAAAATGCAGAAGGCTCAAAAAAGAATTCTAAATTTGAACATCATACCTGCCATTAAAAATGTAAAAAACCCGTTGATATTCAATATTTTCTTGTATACAAGTGTTCATAATTATACGCGCACACGAAGATTTTTTTTCGAGGGTTACATCTGAGTAAAATTTTGAAATTATTCGGTTGCCGCTGTTAAATGAAGCGATAGAAGCGATATTTAAACAAGTGGTCTAAGGTTATTTAGACAGAACTTCCTTCACCTCTTAAATGCAATCGAAAAATCCAGTGTTGCTGGATAATTATAAATTTTAATTCTGTAAAATTTTAGAGTATTTATTTTATGACAACCCCTATAAGTAAGGCAAGGTTTTGAACTAACTTCATTTATTCAGCTGAACCACCAAGCGCTTGATGGATGAGTGAGATATCGGTTAAATAAACCATGAGAAAATATTACACAAAAAAATTATCTAATACATAAAAGACGGCGTCCAGTTCTTTTGTAACTTAGACCCAGTACAGAATAAATTACACTTTAATAAAAGTGAAGTCTGTATTCTTTAAAATTTCTGTCGTCTCCGCGATCCACTGAAGATATAAATTTCCCTGAACGTGATGTTTGCAACTAAAATGAACTCGTAAGCTTTTTCACTAGCGCTTCAGCTTACAGAGAGCGCCAATCAGGAAGATAGTAAACATATCTACATAGGTTAGAGTCATTTCTTTAAAGCACTCGCTGCGTATTAGATTAGGTACAATTTTTGTGACAGTATTTACAGATTTTGACAAAAGATATGCATTTAAAAGTGACCATTATACACACCTCCTTTATATTGTTGTGTGGTAAGTAAAGTTAATAAAATTAATAAATCTGCAACCTAAGTATTAAACAAATAAATATTCAGTCAGTGTTACTGTTTCTATTTTTTTTTTATAATTTTTTTATTGTTTTAGGTTTATCAAAAATTCGAAAATATGTTTAAATTATAGCCAAAATATTATTATATTTAAGTGTATCTATCAATTTTTACATTCATTTAATTTTGTTAAAAGATATAATTCCTGTAAATAGTTTTAATATATTTATTTCAAAGAAATTGATTATCAGCAGGAGTGTTTTGTTGTTATTATTACTTTTTTGTGGTACAGATGATACAGCAAAAATTAATCGCCAACAAACAAATGCGAATGTCACTTTCAATTAATCCTTAATAGTTATTAAGATTTATTTATGTCTGTTCTTATATTGATCATGTTTTGATTACGAAGAGTACGTGACCTAAAAATAAGAACAATAAAAAAGTTACATTGGTTGTTTCCAATCATTACGCCTACCGCGTAATATATGTATATATACGCAATGTACTCTAAATAGCCTAAGAACATGAACAGAAAGCGAAGCAGCTGCTTACTGGTGAATTACTTAACATTTGATCTTCTATAATTAAAATACGACTATTTCTACAACTATTCTTTGTTTTTTAAACCAAATATTTCACTTCTACGATATACTTGTCGAAATATTTCGCACAAATTATATGTCGAAAATTTAAACCGTTGGGGTTGTTTCATTAAAATCGTTTCATTAATCTTTACTTATAAAATATGATCAAAAAAATAAATACAAAAGAACGATTAATTATTATTAATTAAGCTACAATGGAGCAAAACGGTATTAAAATTTAGATTCAAAGAGTAAAAAATCAAGGTAGATTCATAAACCAGAAGTATAGAAATAAATTATTTTATAAAATTTAAGTGGCGTTTAATAAAAAAATTGGGGGGACGCCATCAAATTTTTGATATGGATAATTAGCCAAATTTTGGTTAGCGTTTTATTATATACACGATTTTCTAACGTGACATACATACAAAATTTGACAGTAATGGGTCCAGTAATTTCGAACATTATCTGTTTAATAAAAATCAACAGAGACATACGACACGCAGACAAACACAAACGGGGAACCTATTTTTGTACACTAGAGGCGTCCTGGAATGTCACAAATTTTAAGCATTTACTAAGTATATGTATAAAAATGAAGACAAAAAATAAAATACTACTAACAACCGCTTTAATAATGTTACTTAATTAAACTTTGATAAAATGTTGCTTTACTTTAGTAATTTTCAACATTCGGAAATCTTGGACTTTAATTTATTGATATGCACCTTTTTTATTTGTTTACCCAATTAAGAATAGAACAACCTCAAAGCTTATATTCGAAAAATACATATCAGTTAAAACTTAAAGGTCAGTTATAATCAGGAGAAAAATTGTGTGTAAATAATTTAAAAGAAAACATAAAAGAGAGATTTGTATTTTAGGCATAACAGCATTGTCACAAAACGCTACAAAAACTGAAGATGTAGAGAAAAACGTTACATCGATTATGTTAGACGCTGTTAGCCACCACGACAAAGAAACATACCTAATAACACAAAATATTACAAATTTTGGTGAAAATCTAAACATTATGAAACAGAATAAGAAATATAGAGTGAAAGTAAGAAAAAGGAACAAAAATAAAAATGAATCGAACAGAACAACGGAAATGTCGCTGACAGAAAATGTTGGCTTTTCTAACACAACGGCAAACGAGTTTAGAAAAAAAAGGCGCAAAAAAAGGAGACGAAGGAAGAAACAGAATCAAGACAATATCCTTGAAATTACCACCGCAAGGTCAATAAATAACACACTTACTTACGTACACATAAACAATACGCTTAAGTACTTAAACAGCACTCACGGTAACCTCGATATTTACGCTCAAAATGGCACAGAAAAAATGAATGTTAAATCGTCTAATTTTGTTAATAATAGTAGCACTCCGAGAAAACAAAGTAGATGCAAAATAAAGAACGGTGGTTGTTCCCAGATATGCAGACCAAAAGGTAAAACAAAATGCTCTTGTCTGAAAGGTTATAGGTTAGCTAAAAATCGCAAGAAATGTATAGGTGAGTGATCACTGATAGTACAGACAATCATTTCTATTTCGACTTTTTTAGACATAGATGAATGCCGAATAAAAAACGGTGGTTGTAAAGAAATATGCCGAAACAGTTTGGGCGGATATGTTTGCGACTGCTCTTTAGGCTTTAGACTATCTGAAGATTATAAATCATGCCAAGACATCAACGAATGCCATCTTCGTAACGGTCACGGGCCTTGCCAAGACACTTGTACAAACACATATGGTTCGTACATTTGTGACTGTTCTCATTTAAATGGAACCAGATTAGCTAGTGACAAACATTCCTGCGATGACATTAATGAATGTGAAGAATTCAATCCAGGGTGTTCCCATTTGTGCATTAACACAAGAGTTGGTGCATTCTGCTCGTGTCCAGAAGGAATGGAATTGATGTCAGATTATAAAACTTGTCAAGGTAAGTAACAATTTTTATTGAAAGATTTATGCTTCATATTGTTATTTCTTTAGATGTAGACGAGTGTGAAGATGCCTCTATTAAATCATTGTGTTCACGTGGATGTGTTAATACGATTGGGTCATACTATTGTGAAGAGGATTTTCAAAACGATCACTACGTGAATAAGAAAAAAATTCCTTCGTGTCCTCCTTTAGATCTTCCACAACATGGTTTCATAACGTGTTACCGAAATAACTCCTTACCATATGATACTTTTACAAAGTATGGACGCAAAATTATCAAAAACAGTCCAGGAACCAAGTGTCATCTGGAATGTCCTGTGGGTTTTAGACTTCTGGGAGAAGGAAGATATATTTGTGACATTTCTGGAAAATGGGTCATCAGAAAGAAAGGACTGTGCATTAGTAAGTTTCTAACGACCATTAAAGACAAACATTTCTATGTTAATTTTTAAGAGTCACCGTATCCAAAACTGCATTGTCCACCCGATCAAACATTTTTCTTAAACAAAGGCCAAAGAAGTATTCTGGTGCGCTTTCCAGCACCGCAGACTAATATTCGTTGGAAAATCGTTAAATCATATCCTAAATGGGCGAAAAATCTCAAAGGCAAGTTAAGTGAGGGTCGCCACAATATACAATTTTCTGTAACAGATCCTGCATCTAAATTGTCGTCTACTTGTTCCTTTTCAGTATTAGTAAAAAAATGAAAGTAGATCACCATTTTATTTTTCTTTATTTATAAGAATACTTTTATTAGTCTTACATTAAGTATGACAAAAAATATTGGCAGTTATAAAGCATTCAAAAAATCTTATTTATAATATGCAAAAATGACACTAATACACATTAATAAAAAAAATCAACAACACTTATCATACCAATCAAAATATCTATGTTTTTTTCTTAAATGGGGCGGTAATCTACTTTCTTTATGGATTTTATGCGCTGGAATTCGGTAAGTTTGGGGCTCTATTGGTCTTGTTACTCTAACATGTCTCCAGTAACATCCTGCTTCGTTTGTAAGTTGATTCTAAAAGAATTATATATCTGTTTAAAAATCTACGAACTATTTTATTCATAGCTTACGCTATAATGTTCTGGTGACTGAGACATATACTGAACGCCACTTGGACAGATTAGAACAGCTCTGTATTGGTCAGATCTTCTCTGTAAATTTGATACGGCCGAATTTTCCGGTGCTGCATCGATTTCTTCTAAAATGGAAAGAAAAGTCAAAAATACCAACATAAAAGCGATTATATAACCTTTAATATTCACAGTAAAGTGACAAAAAGCTCTATTTCCGGCCTCATCGCTACCCACATAATTAATATGATGTAACCCAATGCCAAATTTTGTTCCTGGTTCCTAAAAATTGTTGTAAATGATCTCCGTCTATAAACAATAAAATGTCTATTTTTACTCTTGATTTATAAAGATTAGCAATGCCGACGTTGTCACTAAACTCGGGTTCTTTCCAAAACACTAACTGACTAGTTTGGCCTCTGGGAAGTGTGTACTCCATATTTGTCGGACACGCAGTTACCCTAGGATCTTCTATATCTAAAACAGTTATGACTAATTTACAAGCTGTTGCGTTCGAATTGATTGAAGCTTCTTGGCCATCAGCGTAAAAAGTTAACTCTGTTCTTCCAGCTGGTAGTATCGTCCCTAACTGCATCCCCCAAGTAGGATCAGATTTCACATCTCTGAAAAACAAGGATGATAGTGAAAACAACAAACAGGATGTGAGTATTACTTCATCCAGTTAGCATTTGTTTCAGGTTGTGGTATCTTAGCATACATATGTCGTTGTCCAGGAGGTAAAGTGTAAGTTAACTGACCATTTCCCGGGCATTTAATAAACGTATGCGAAATGTCTAGAAAATATAAGTGTCATACGTGAGAATTCATATTTTTCTAGCTACCTCGAACGCAGATGTCATGAAATCTTTGTACTGATTCGCTTGGTTTCCAGCTCAGATCACGATTACAAGAAATCATTCCATTTCCTTGACGTAACTTGTACCCTTTTTTACAATAGATCCGACATTGTTCTCCAGAGTAAGTGTAACCGTTGTTACAGTTACTTGGTAAAAGCCACCCGTTTTGAATTGGAGGTAACCTGGGACAAGCAGCAGCTAAAACTAGTGTTTAGTACATTTAACTTCAATTTTCACTTAACGTACCAGAACAATAGGGCGTAGGACTCCCCCAACTTCCCGTACTCTGACAAGTCCTTGTTGATTCTCCTATAAGCTTGTAACCTTCATCGCACCAAACCATACATCTTGTACCCGCAGACACAAAACCAATTTTATCAGAACGAGTGTTCATGCACCTGATAATACCATTAGTAGGATCTGCTGGCACTCGACATTCGTTGAACGTAATGGTCTTACACGATCGTCCATCGTCTTGCAAAGCGTACCCATTGTTACAGTCACACCTATGCCCACCTCTGTAGTTTCTACACAGCACTTGACAGTTACCATTGTTCAACAAACATTCGTTAATATCTTCGCAAGTTTTGTTGTTGTATCCTAATTTGAATCCGCTTGGACAGGTGCATTCGTAAGATCCTGGTACATTTTTGCAACCATGCGAACAACCCCCTTTACGTATTTTACATTCATTAATTTCTTTACAAGCGACTTGGTTAGGTCTGAGAATGTAGCCTGAGGGACAAAAGCAGCGAGGCCTCCCTTCAATAACCCGGCATTCGTGAGAACACCCCCCGTTGTCTTGCTTACAGGGATTTTCCTGAATACATATTTTATCGTTTAACTTAAATCCTGTCGGGCAAGAACATTTAACATTTCCTTTATTGTTCGTACAAATGTGTGAACAACCTCCGTTATTAACCAAACAAGGATTTGCTTTGGAACAGGTTTTACCGATTAATTCGTAATCTGGTGGGCACTTGCAAATAGCTTGTTCGTCAACAAATTCGCAAATATGAGAGCATCCTCCGTTTTTAATGGCACATGGGTTTTCTTTAACGCAATTTTTTTTGTCTAGCTTATATCCGTCGGGGCATAGACAATAAATAACACCGGTTTCAAAAACGCATTCGTGAGAACAACCTCCATTGTCTACGAGACATGGATTGGCTTGAATACATTCTTTGCCAATTAATGTATGGTAACTTGGGCAGGAACACCGTACGGTACCACCGACGTTGTTGCATTTGTGGGAGCAACCACCGTTGTTAATTACACAGGGATTTTCTAAAATGCAAGTTTTACCGTCTAGTTTGTAGCCGTCTGGACAGAGGCAGTATATGTCATCTCCTTCTTCAACACATTCATGAGAACAACCTCCATTCTTGATAGAACATAGATTAATTCGCGTACACATTTTGTCGTCAGTTAAATTATACTTGTCCGGACAGGAACATTTTGCTTCTCCATTAACGTTTTTGCAAATATGGGAACATCCGCCATTTTTGTCCGAGCAAGGATCCACCAAAACACATTTCTTTCCATCACCGTTTAAATAGTAGTTTAAAGGACAAGAGCAATGTACACCATCATGTGAATGTTGACAGATGTGCGAACAGCCTCCGTTATCAGTTTTGCACAGATCTATCTCCTCGCAGTGTGTGTCATTGATCAAATCATAGTTTATTGGACAAGAACATGCAACTTCATTATGAACAACAGAACAAATATGCGAACAGTTCCCATTATAGATTTCACACGGATCAATCGGAACACATGTTTTTTCGCTTAAACTGTATCCTTCAGGACAAGAACATTCAACTAGTCCCTCATCGTCTGAATAACATTCATGTGAACAACCACCATTATCAATCAGACAGGGATCTTCGCGGTAACAGATTCTGCCTTCTAAATAGTAGTTGTGTGGACAACTGCACGATAATTCCTCATCGACAAAATTACAAGTATGTGAACATCCACCATTGTCAACTAAACAGGGATTCCTGCGGTAACAATGCGTGTCGTTTCCTAAATCATGAGTTTTAGGGCATGAACATATCACTGAGTGGTTGACAAAGTTACAAATATGCGAACAACCTCCATTGTCTTCTAAACATGGATCGATTTCAACGCAGTGTGTTCTGTTTTCGAGTTCGTGCATTTCGGGACAGAAGCAGTTAATTTCGTCCCCTACTAATTCACAAAAATGGGAACAACCACCATTGTTTATCGTGCACGGATTTATGCGAACACACGTTTTGTTTTCCAGCTCGTAACCATCAGGACATTCACAAACAGCTTCACCGTCCACATTTCTACAAATATGTGAACACCTGGCATTTCTACAAGGGTTCAAATCGACACAGGTTTGATTGTCTGTGTCTAGTTCAAATTCTTCGTCACACTCACAATGATAAGAACCCATGGTATTCTTACAAGTATGCGAACAATTTCCATTGTCTTCTGCACACTCATCTATGTCTTCACAATTGGCTTCATCTTCTAGAAGCCGAAAACCTGATTTACAAGTGCACTCATAACCGCCTTCAAAATTAACACATAAGTGATCGCAGTAGTTGAAGTGTTTTTGTTCACACTCATTGATGTCAATACAAGTTCTGTGATCTGTGTCTAATTCGAAACCCTCTTCGCAAGAACATCGGTAACTACCGATGGTATTTGCGCATTTATGCGAGCAAGTGTTCTTCCGGAGACATTCGTCGATGTCTTTGCAGGTTCTGTTGTTTCTTTCTAAATAGTAACCGTCGTAACATGTACAAGAGTATGAACCTGGTATGTTAACGCAAGAATGGGCACAGCCGTGGTCATCTTCGCATTCGTCAACGTCGTCACAGGTAACTCCGTTACTGCTGCGAACATACCCATTTGGACAAATGCATCGATAGACATCATCAATAATTGTGTGTCCATGAGGACAAGATACTTTACTGCAGCTATTATTAGCTAAGAGAGCATATCCTTCAGGACATTCACAGTGGTAGGAGCCTATTTTATTAACACACTTGTAAGGACAAGGGTTAGTAACACATTCGTTGATGTCGTGGCAATTGCTAAAATCTGAAGATAACTCGAAACCGCTAGGACAAGTGCATTTGTAGCCTCCATCTGTGTTTTGACATCCATGTGAACACTCAGAGGTACCGATTTCGCATTCGTCAACATCTAAAAGAAGGAAGAAAATTTCTGACCATCACTACACTACTAGAAAAAATTTTTGAAATCTTTAGAAAGTGAAATTTCCAAACATTAATGAAAATTTGGAAAAATTGTAAAAAGTAAGTATCTTTTGAATTACGTGTAAACACTGGATTTGGGTTATTGTTCCAATCTGATTAATTTCAGCATTTGTACAAAAACCGTTTGACATGACTACGTAACAATACTATTAGTAAACTTACCAATACAATCACCGTCGTCATTTAAATAATATCCTTCAGTGCATCCATTGTCCTCGTCGTCATCTTCCTCGTCATCCTCGTCGTAATCTTCTTCTCTGTAGTCATTATCGTCATCATAATCTGCATTATTATTTTTCTCGTTATTCTCGTTACGTTCTGGTTCTGTAGTTTGTGGGGTGCTAAACTGTCTTTCAGTTGTTGTGATTACAGAATCCGTCGTTGTAATATAATCCTGTTTGTCTGAATTCAGGTTGTTGTTAGGTATATTCTCAGGTTCTTTCGTATAATTTTCTTCATCATAGTCCTCATTTTCAGTTACTGAAGAATCAGTGCTAGGTTTATTAGTGGTATAAGAATTTTGTTTAATCGACGATAACGTTGTTGGTAACCTTTCTAAAGTAAACCGTATTACAGGTGTAGTATCGGGGTTCGGTTCAGTAGATACTGTGGTAGTTTCGTCTTCGTAGTCTTGTTCGTCTTCTTTAGTTTCTTCTTCATAGTCGTTATTTTCGTTTTCGTCATAATCATCTCTTTTTGTTTCTGTATCTTTATTACCAACCGCATCGTCTTCGTTTTCATTATTACCATGGTCAGAAACTTTTTCAAATTTGTTTTGTATGACATTGTTATTAACTAGGTGCTTGTCGTCAAAACCCTCTTCAAAATGCAGTTCAGGTATCTTATTGACTGAATCTTCGTATTCTGGGGGTAACTTAGACCTATTCTTTTTATAACTAGTTTCAAAAGTTTCATTATCTACTAATAATGTGTTGTTCTTATCAGCAACGTCGTCACCGTCATTGTGTTTCTCACCAGTATCCTTCTCACCATTCTCAGGTTTTTCATTTGCTGTTTCATTTTTTTCGTTTTGTTGTTCATAATCTTCGTCAGTGTATTCATCTTCACTCTCATAGTCTTCTCCTTCACCACCGTAATCGTCCTCGTCTTCGTAATCATCATCATCGTCTAGAGCTTGATCGGCCATTATATCACGAATTTCCATCGAGGCATTTTTAGCACAATAATATGAACCCACCGTGTTTACACAAGCGTGACCGCAACTTTCCTTAATCTTTGGATCAGCGCACTCATTCACATCTACAAAAATACTACAGTTTAATGTTTTTATAAATAATTACTGAAGAAGAAATAAATTTGGTAACCAAATGAAACTAATTGCCTGTGAAGTAGCCTACCTTTGCACGTTTTCCAGTTGGAGCTCAGTTGCCACCCAACTGGACAGGTACAGTATACTCTGCCGTGAGTGCTAATGCATCCGTGTGAACAACCAGATCTTCCTTCGTGGCATTCGTCTAAATCTGTGCAGGAGTGGCCATTTGAGGCCAGATGTGTGCCATTTCGGCACCTACATTTATACGATCCCTCTGTATTTTGGCACATATCTTGGCACGGGCCATGACCATTTCTGAGCAAACATTCGTTGATGTCTTCGCAAGATTTGCCGTCAGGCAATAGTCGGAAGCCGTCTGGGCAGGAACATCGAAAAGATCCTTGGATGTTTATACAGTTTTTTTGACAATTGCTAATGCCCAATTGACATTCATCGATATCTATAAAATGAAAAAACTTTTTCATTTAGCTGAAGAAGGAGTAAATATTAGTAAAAAGAGTCAGTACCTTGCCATAATTTGGTTTTGGAATATTTTAAGCTAACAAAGATTTTCTATTTTGATACGTTTAAAAACTTGTCAAAACTAAACAACTGAAGATGCTTAAACACAAGAAGTCTTTATGACGATGGTTTGTTTTGGAATAAACATTTAAGGTTCCTGGACAGTGAGTTGTAGTTTTTGTGGTTACGTCAACCAAGTTGAACAAATTTGAACTAATCCGTAAAATTTGTAGCAAAAAGCTTAATTATTTCTCAGAAGAAGCAATTACTTGTGCATTCATTTATGGTAAAAACCAACTAATATTCCGCAAAAGGCATCAGCAAAAGATCGTTTATTATTTTCTATTCTCTCCCGTAAAAAAGCGTTCATTTCAGATTAATCAGAACACTTATTTGGCCATTTTATGTAAGTAAATATTTTGAGTCATTGAGTCAAACACTTTAACAAAATAAAAAGGAACTAAACAAAAGTGAAATACAGGATAAGTCACTAAGCGCGCGGTCCTCAATATTTCATTAATTATTATTGGAGATAAAAAAAAAGGCCAAGACAAAAGTTGTACGGTTCTTTAAGGACTATACTCTAAAAGTATATTTATCTATACAAAGTGTTTTATTTTTAAGGCGTAACATACAACTTTTTTTTATGAAAAACCCTATATATCTTTTAGTTGACCTGGTCTTAACCTTACAACCAGTTTACTTTTGAAATTCCGATGTGACGTTGCCACGTTACTCAAATATTATTGAAATATTATGCGCTGTGTTGTGGTATCAAATAAATGAAATTTTAATATACAGAGTGTATACAAAAAAATCCAAAACTTTACAGTTTTCAGATATCGATATTTCAGTTTTTCAAATAGAACACCTTGTATTTTATTATTATTTCTTACTTTATCTTTTTGTGCCCCTTAGAAAAAGTAAAAAATTGCAGAAACGTCAAAATATGTAAAGATATGTATTTCATTAAAAAAAAAAAACTAAGTTGTGTGTTACGTCTTAACAACAAAACACTCTGCATAGTTAAAAATGATTTTAGAGTGTAGTCTTCAAACAACTGTACAACTTTTGTCTTTGACTTTTTTCTATTTCTAAAAATTTAGATCTCGAGGAACGTACGCCTAGTGACTCACTCTGTATATGTTTTATATTTAATATGAAACTACAACGATTAGATAGATAGAAAAAAAAATACAATTTATAAAATACTATAGTATCACAAGAAAAATATTAGAACTTTTATCACACATAACAGGTGATCTTAAATTTGAGTCAATTGAATTCTTTTATGATAACGCCTATACGTATATTAAAATAAAAAATAGCTGCATGTTTCCAGAATTTTCGGGAAACTAGATAAGCTATTCTTGATTGCATCAATAAAATTAACTGATTCATTATTTTTTAAACATCCGGTGTAAACAATTCTTTACAATAAACATACATATTACTAAAAGTCAAACAATGTTGCATCTCGGAGGAGCATATTTCCTGATAAATATTTATTTAATAAATTTTTGAGATGCTGTCATTAACTTTCTACAGGTGATGAAGAAATAAATTTGAATCATTATTCTGTAATCATTTCGAAGTTAGTGCTAGGATCTTGCCAAACTTTCAGAAAAATTCGCTTCGCATGGATACATTATTAAGTCATAGATAAAGGAATGCTTGAAACTATAGATTTCAAATAAGATTTGACTAAACAATTTTAAGATGACGTCATCCAGTTTTTGGAAGGGTAGGAGCAAATATAGAGATTAATTCTGATCAGCGAATTAATACGTTTTACTTAACAAAATTTTTGGTGAAGATGATAATATAAAATTTGATAACGTTTTACCATCTATAGGATATTATTAAGGTTCGCCTAAAATTTCATAGTCAAACGACAGACAAAAGGAAGACGAAAACGGGAGACCTACTTTTTCATATTTCATGAATTATTAAATGTCGACAAACTATGAAATTGGCCATTCGCCAAATTAACATGATATTGTTAAATATTTCCTTAGCTTATGCTCGGAAGTTAAAATTTTGTCAGCAGTTTAATATTTGGCAGTAAACTGCATTTCCAATGGAAAAAAATGCGATTGAATAAAATTCAAGGAATTCTATTATTCGACTGATTATAAAATATTTGAGTTGGAACTTACTTTTCAAAAACACAAGGAAAAACATATTTAGTACCTTGACAGTAAATACGAAATTTACACTTATTGAACTACATAATTCAATAAATTTCATTCATGAAATGTCTACATTTCTTTTGAATTGGCCAATTACAGGCAGCCCATAAATGTTTTACTTAACAACATTTTATGGTGGAATCTTGAGTGCTAGTACAACTCAAAACGGCAAACAGTTTTTAAAATTAATTTTAAATTTAATGAAATTAATTTTTTCAGGGTAAGCAAAAATAAGAATATAATCAAGGCAGATTTACAAAACTCAAGTACATGGATGTGTTATTTTATAAAATTTAAACAGCATTTACTATACAAAATTTTGAGGTCGTGTTATCAAATTGTGGGTTGGAATAAATAGGCAAATTGTGGTTAACATTTTACTCTTGGTATTCTTAATATTCATCTAAAATTTGACAACAATCGGTCCGGTAGTTTCGGAGATTATCTGTCACTACAAGCGTATGTGAATAATAATTAATCATAATTTTTTATTATAATAATTTGTAAAATAATTGTAAGTGTACAAGAGAATCACAGAATTTAGTTGGAAAAGAGACATCAGTAAAATGAATGGTCTACATATCACTTATTTTGAAACTACATTAGATATGGCACTAGTACTAGCAAGTTTCTTTAAGTTCCAGTGTCTTATACTACTAAATGATATTGCCTTCTCTTAATCCTCCAAACTGAATACAGTAATTTATTATATGAAAGCTTTGTTTAACGTTTTATATATAGAAGGACAATTCAGAAAATAAGTTCATTTTTAAAGTTAAGGAAGCTATAAAATGGAGTAAAAATCTATAAAATTGCACCACACTATCGGCCACCAATAATGGTTTTCTATTTCGAGATTCAACATGCAGATTCTTTAGTTCTTCATGGCCACGCCCCTTTCATAAACTTCAGATGCCATTTTATGTTGGTCGTAAGCTTGATATTTTAGTCATATTTTACTGCCTATCATAATTTTGCAGTAAGTGACTGCCTGACGAAGAATCAGCATGTTTAACACTGTGTACAAAGGCAATAAAAACCACCTTTAACCTAACTATGTAATACGCTTCTAAGGAAAGATGTTGTGACATGTATGGGAATTATGACAAAAGTAATATTCATTACCAGTTCCGACTCCAATTGATAATTAACGGCTGTCTGAGTACTTATTTCACTTTAATTACTTACTTATTTATTACAAAGTGAATATTTGAGATTCATAATAAGTTAATAAGTAATTAAATAACACAAAGAAATCAATAATACGAGGAGCATTACATCACTATTATTTTTAATGGCATCACCTTTTTATTTTCAAATAGAATAAAGTATGCTGTTTAAGTGCATTAAATATAGATGTTTTCAAAAGGTTTATGAAACTCGTTTGCTTCATTGCTTTAGAAAATTTTAATTGCCGATATCAATTTAACCATTCCACTCTCCATCTCTCTCTTATTTGAAAAAATAGAAGTCTGAAATCTAGAATGGTAAAGACCACAAAAGCGTTACTTCAATTTTGATTTTTCGAAAATCGGTTTCTTATTTCAAATGTACTCTATATGTGAGGTAGTAGAATACTTTTTCACTCTTGTATTGGCCTAATATCTGAGATGAATTTGTTTGATAAAATGCTTTAAAAATGTTCAAAGATTTATTTGAACATTTTTACTTGTTCCACTGTAAAATTTAAATTGTTTCAAAAATTAAAATTTTAAAACTTTGAACAAAATTTTTTTGCTTGAATTTCCGAAAAAGATATCCATTTTATTTGTCTTTTAATTTTTTTTTAAATTTTTAAATTAAAAAAATAAGAAGGTAGCGGCAGACATTTGACGTTTCTTTAAATTTTGGGTACTTTTTAGCGTAAAGCAATGGAAAACCAAAAACTTTTTATCCAATCAGAAAATGGATCATCGTGATATTTTACAAATGTCGAGAAAACAAAAAAATGTGAAAAAATTATACAAAGAGAATTTGCTACCAAAATAAATTCAAACTAAACTAAGGGGAATGTTTAAAAAATTGGTTGAAGTTCCCTAGCGCCCGAGGTAGATTCCGAAAAATCCCGCTTTTATATACTTCGGAAAAATTCGACCAATTAGCACGTTTATTTCATTTGTTTTAAAAGAAAAAATGATTGATTTTGTTTCCTTAAAACGCAAGAGAGGACTGACGAATTAATTAGATATTTTATGAATATTATTCTGGGTGAGGAGCTCTTATTATGATAATTAATTAATTACTATTTTATTAATATCTATACTTATATTACAAAGCTGAAGTGTTTGTTTAATTGAACACGCTGATCTCAGAAACTACTGGTTCCAATTCAAAAAATCTTTCTGTGTTGGATAGTCCATTTATCGTATCTATGTATAGGCTATATAACATCACGCTATGATCAATAGGAGCGAAGTAGCAATGAAAAATTGGGAAAAACGGGAAAATTATTCCTCCTTTGACAGCTTCCGTTGCTTACGCTGCTTAAACGGTTAAAGTTACGTAAAAAACATGTATGACGAAATTGTTCCCCTCTAAAAGTTCTAAAGAAAAGTCCCGGACAGCATATGTCTATCTTTTAAGGTCGACTCAGTATAACCTTTTCTATGGTAATGAAATTTGTTCTAAAATAATAATGCATTAGGTATAAAATTCTTGCGGCACAGTGTTTGTAACCGAACTCCTCCGAAATGGGTTGACCCATTTGTATGAAATTTTTTATGTATATTCGGTAGATCTGTGAATAAGTTGTAAACTATTTTTTATACCTCTCAGTGATAAGGGTGGCCCACCCTAAAAAAATTTTGATTTTTTGGCCAAAATTTTTTATTTTAATTTTTTTTAAGATTTGGCATCAATAAATACATATAACCCTAAATTTTCACCTTTATACCACCAACCCCCATTTTTTAATCTTTATATATAAAAGGCAATGTCCCGAATGACCTATCAACGCCCAGCCCAAACCGCTAATGCTAGAAAATTGAAATTTGGAGAGAATGTTCATTTTAAACTGGAGGCATCGTTTAAGAAGGGATTTCTCCAAATTCGTCCCCTAAGGGGGTGAAAAGGGGTGGCTAAGATTGTATGGGAAAAATATTTGTATTGTAAATTTAAATTTCTACTTGAAACTTGGTATTAATGCTCTTCAATACAAATAATGAAGCACGTATTTAAGCATTTTCCGAGATTCAAACTCTAAGGGGGTGAAAAGTGGTGGCGAAGTTTGTATGGAAAAATATTTCTACTGTAAATTTAAATTTTTACGGGGAGCTTGGTATTAATACTCTTCAACACAAATAATGAAACACGTATTTCAGATTGTTTCGAGATTTCACCCCTAAGAAGATGAAAGGGGGTGACAAATTTTTTATGAGCAAACATTTTTTATGTCGATTTTTACTGGAAGTTGTATTAATGTCCTTCAACACATTTTTCACTTGAAGGTTGATAATAATGCTCTTTAACATAACGAATCGTCTACGCGAGCGAAGCCGCGTCCGAAAAGGTAGTTATTAAATATAAGCGGGTGCGCCATTACTGTATTCTTACAAAGCAGACATCCCTATCACAGGACCTTTAAGTGCTTGGGTACGTATTGTGTAACTAAAGAAGAAGTAGATTCAAACGATAACAATAATAATAATAATAAACAAAAACATACTAGATTCCAATAAGTCTAGGAGTATCCTATTTTATGAAATTTAAGTTATGTTTATTGTACAAAATTTTGAAGGAATGTTATCACGTTATTGGTAGGGATGGTTAGACAAATTTTGGTTAGATTTTTATTATCTGTCTAATAAAAGTCCAAAGAGATAGCCGACTACAAACAGACAGACAGATAGAAACGGATAACCTATTTTTTCGTAGTTTGGGAGTCATGAAACCTCGAAAAAACATGAAGATGGATTCGATTACAATACTTTCTTAGCTTACGCTCGAAAAGTAATAAAAATAAAAGGGTTAAAAATTATTACCTTTGTCTAAATTTGCCAGCTAAATTTCTGAAAAAAATTACAGCAAAGCCGAGTGTGTCCCGGCATTTTGTTAATTTGCGATAAATTTTAAAAGCAATTTATTTCATTTTGACAAACAAAAAGTATATCACATAAGATGATGTCAAGCCACGGTTAAAAAAATTCAACACTTAAAAACACTTAAAATGATGAAATTGACGTTACTTGGAAGGAAAGTACCACAGAGATAATACCAATGATGTAGTTACTTTACGATTATTTTAAAGGAATATCAGTTAAGAGTCAGAACTTTCAAACTATTAAAGTAAAACGGGTAACCAAGGAAATCACCATTTAATTTTTACTTTCTTAAGCATTAAACTAAAAAGATAAAAGCACATCCCCCTTCCATTTAAATTTGTATGAAAAAATAAATCATTTCCAAAAACTAAAAGCGGTCGATATAAAATTAATAACACGATTTCTTAACGCTATGTTGACTAAACAAAATTTGAAACTTCTGTCTTTGTGTCTTTTTAAACACTTGAGACGTTGAAGTGGAACAAATATAGTGGAACACCTAGTATACTATTTAAATAAAGGCACTTCTTTACAATTTTAAGCCAAAAATCATCAGTCATACACTTTTTGTTTAGTTAAATTATATATTATGAGTTTTATGACACTTGTTTCATATTTTGTCCTTCAGGTCAGCCTGATTTGGGTCGTACTAAGAACACATCCATAAAAATTTGGTTTCAGTGTCAGCTTTTTCGGAGTAAAAGATATATATTTTTAAGCATTCTCTTCATTAGCTTAAAAGAGCGTTCATTCCATGCTGAGACACTTAAATTTAAGAAGTATCTGATGTTTTTTACCGACCCCCTTTTATTGTGGATAAACAAAGGTAAAAAACAAAATAGTACCAAAAATCTTGTATTTTTAGTATTAAGTGGAGATACTGCATTAAAATATGCGCTGGAAAAAATCTTATAATCTGGAAATTAAGTAAGCTGGACGAGCTGGTCTCATTTTCAACGTCTACTGTATATAAGAAAAACAAATAGAAATCCAGCTTCAACTAGAAAACGATTTTTACTGATCTCACGTTATGAAGGAGCACCGTTATGTAGTTTTGTAAAATAATTTACATACAGGGTGTTTGAACTTTACTAATATGTCGAAACTGCTTAAAAACTACTACCTGGTCTACATTCCTCATTTACTACTTGCAGATGTCGTTTTACTGGATTAAAAAAATATATAACTTTTTCAAAAAATAGTTAACAAGACGTTTCCAAAATAGTTTTTGCAGATCCTCTGTCAGTTTTTAAGATAAACTCAGTAGGCCTCATCAATTTATTCCAAACCATCCACCAACTCAATGCTGATGAATCAGCTATGATTTATTATATTTGTATAACATAACTAACGAACAAATTAGATTCACAAAAATGTTTCCTTCTTTAGAATTTGTTCTCCTAAACGTACACAAACAGTATGTTTATTCATAATTTTAAATATGTGGTAAAATTAAATTAGTCAGGCTTACTGAAACCACAAAACTTGTAAAAATATCAAATTTTGAATTAATGAAATATCAGTTATGAGACTGCACAACAAAAAGTAGTTATAATTAAGTATTTATTACGGATAGCATTTTAATTATCTACATGCTGATACCTACCTACACATTTTTTATTTTTCCGCGTAAACCCCTTGAAACACGCGCAAAATACTTTTCCATTTCTTATAACACAAGCTTGTTGGCACTTCGTATTGAGTTCTTTGGGACATTTTCTGAACGACGAATTCGAATTAAGTAATCGTGAAGGTGTTGTATTTGGACTGTCATCTTGTGAATACGCCTCTGTAAAAAAATAAAACACTTAATTACACCATCCAAATAGCCGTCAAAATTGTATTTTCTAAATACAATAAGTAGTAAACGTCAAAAAAACTGCGTCTTTCTGTCTTCATTTAAATCCACAGTATTTGGTCAAAGCTTTCGGTGATAAATCTTAGTGCGTGGGAATGGCTTCGTTAATAATTTGAAATAATTTTTACCGAAAAGATATGACGCAAAAATGCGGACGTACTTGCGTTCCTGTAGTTTGGTAATCTCATCAAAAGAAAAACATGTGTACCGATTCTGGCCAATCACTTCTGAATAAATTATGGCAAATCCCACGTATATCATGCCAATGACATTTTTATGCTAACGCTGCCGCATACTATGTTTAAATGTTATCTATTCCTTACTCCCATGAATGAATCAGTTATACTTTCCCAACTTTTTCTGTAACGCACCCACGCACTTAAACAAATTTACCATTTTTCAACAATTAGATGTTTCATTACATCGTATCATGTTACAGAGTGTTGTACTTTGAGTGAATTTAACTCAAACGCATCCTACGTGTTAGATAAATACCGAATAATATATGGACTTTATTCTGACGTTTATACAAATGTAGAGCTAAAATACAAAATGCAGGTTACGAAAAGTTATAGCTTTATTTTCAAGCAGCTTAGGTATTTTTATTGTTTTGGGTAGGACGTGATTTATGATTGTATTTAATTAACGTCCCGTTTAAAGAGTTTAAAAAAAGTCTTCCTGGATTATTCCTTTGTATAAATGCTACGTGTCCGTTGCTCGTCAGATTTAACAAAAGGTGTAAAATATAAAAAGTAAACATGATCTTTAAGGTGTTTAACAGACCTTTTTTAGAAGATGAAAGATGCATAATACTGCGTGAGATTCATCCATATAGGGCTGCCTGAACAAACTTAGTAAACATTATTTTCCTATTATAGGTATCATATTTTATGAAAAGAACGAAAATCTACTCAGGCATATAAAGTTTCAGATTTATTTAATTACGTGTATAATGTTTATTTCTGTCCTTTTCCTACATGGTTTGTTTAGTACTTCGTAATCGCAATGATTGTCGTGTTACTTTAGGGACGTCGGTTTGAATCATCGGCAAAATTTAATAATATTAACAAGTTATGGCTTCTGTTACATAAAACATATGTGTGAATGTGACTAACCGCTTTGTTCATTAACTTTTAATTGAGAACACTTTTTACCAGACAGTACGTGTTCTTGCGTCGACAGTTATTCAGAACATTTTTTATTTATATAAACAAATATTTACTCTTAGTAATTCGAATGTATACTCTTTTTATAATGTGTTAGATGTAGGGTTATTCATAGAGTAATTAAAAAACTCACCTGTAGTTAACTGACCATTTTTTAATCTATCTCTTGATTGATGATAAGATCTAGAATTACAATACTGACAACCTGTAAAATGTAAAAAAAATTATTATAGCCTGTTTTCTTTTTAATATATTGTTGTTAGTATATAGAAAGAAGCATATTTATGTTACAAAAAACTTCATTGCATTTAGTATCTGGAGAAGGGGTTGACTGTTTCTTGTTTACAGAAGAAATCTTAATTTAATATCTGGTGATTTTTTAAATTTCTGCTCTAGTTAGCCATGACTAGCATTGCTGATGTAAGTGTAATGGCAAGTAGAGCTTAAATTTCAAAAATCACACCCATTTTTCGAATTTGTCATAGTTTATATCCTTGAAATGATTTTTATAATATAATACATTCTAATTAAGATGATATAACATAATATTTCTACTACCTATCAATGTTTTCTCGAGGTTTGCATCTGTATATCTTTCCGTTTATTTATTTATCTTCTCTACAAAGTTGATCAAAAATTCATCAAAAAATAAAGGTTTTATTAAAAGATGTATTTCGACAAAAAATATTCACAAAAAAGTGATTTTTGTAGAAATCTGAAACAACTATTTTTTAAGGTCATTTGTAAAACCGACAAGACACATTTAATACTTTCTTCCAATTTGGCTATGCCTTGCTAAAAAAACCTGGTCTAAGGTTATTTAGGCAGAATTTTCCTCTCCTCTGAAGTTCAGTTCAACAAATTCCATTTTTTCAAAAAATTATAAAATTTGATTTGGGGAAATTTTATTTTTATGCTAACCCCTACATTAAGTTAAAAATATAATGCCAGGCACAGAGAAATAAAAAAAAGGACACACTATCTATATAAAATTTGCGTGCCCTGGGGGAAAAACTTAAGGCGGTTTCATAAACCATAAATATAGGAGTACCACATTTTATAAAATTTCGAAAACAGTTTCAGTTCAAATGTTGGTGTGAATCAGTCGACAAATTTTGGATTTTTTCACCACTTTAGAAAATGATAAGAAATTTAAAACTATGTGAATTTATAAACTCTCGTTTTAATGATTCAGACCGTCTAACTTGTCCACCAAAGACTAGAAATATAAATTTAAAAAATTGGTCGAACGTATTTTGGACAGAACTTTCCTCGCACTGGAAGTACAGTCCAACAAATCCCGCTTCTTAGGAAAATTATAAAATTAAATTTTGCAATATCCTCTGTAAAGTACAATCCAACGGCGTAAATAACACCCTCGCAGCCCCCGTGGGGCAAGTGCGGACAATGTAAAATATATTTAAATTAGATAACCGACGAGAAAAAAATGGCCTCTCAGCAATAATAACAAGCTTTAACTTCAAGTGTTTGTTTATACATCGGAAAATGTCACGTACAAATGTGTTTGATTTGAATGAGTTTGTCGCCTCAAAACAAAGGACTAAAATTATTAAATGAGCCAGAGGCGAACAGAATGTTTTGAATATTATTATTATTATGACAATTTTTATTAAATAAAGAACTGCGTATTCTCAATTTTTCGAGAAAAAGACATAATGGATAGAATTCTTTGAAATAACATAATCAGATTGTTGGTGAGGATGCTTATCCAAATTTTGGTTAGCGTTTTACTACGTACACGATATTCCTAATGTTGACAACAATCGGTCCAGTAGTTTACGAGATTAGACATGTAATAAAAGTCAACACAGATACCATACAGACAAACAGAGCTTTTTTGTCCGATGGACTCGATTACTTAGCTTACGTTCAGGAAGTAAAAATTTATTCTCAGTACATGCTTAACTGTTTATGTCTATACTTTTTAAATTTGACTATACCACCTTCATACCCAGTATCAGCAGCAGCAGATCAAAGTATGTATTTGTGTTAAAAGAAAAAGAAGTTTGATTGATTTGGTCTCCTCAACTCAGAGGAGAGAACTAGTTAATTAATTGAATAAATCCGGTTTTTCTTTTCCCAAAAAACTGGATGTCTAGCGTAAACATTCATAAATTTGAAGAAACCTTACTCCGCAAAAATTATAAGATAACGTCATCATTTTTGGAGGGATCATAAACAAGCAAATTTTGATTAACGATTTATCATGCTTCTTATAACCTTAAAATGTTTACAAGATTTCAGGTTTTTAAAAACCCAGCAGAGTGTTAGTTTTTGTTATTTATAATTTTAATCGTCAAACAGAAATAACATATTTAAAGTTTTATCAGTAAAGAATACATTTGATAAATCGTCTGAAAAAGGCCAGTGTGTATAGATCGAAACCGGTAATAAAAAATAAAAAATTATTTCGACAGAACTGCTTTCGCTCCTGAAATACAATGATAATTTTTTTGAGTCACCCTGTATACGCAAATCCAAAAAATGTTAATGGAATAATAAATCACAAGTACAGATTCATCATATTTTGTACATTTTAGATAGAATTTATTCAGCAAACTTTTGAGCTGACGTCATCAATTTTTTGGAGGGGATAAGTAAATATATTTTGGCTAAAAATTCATTATGCTCTTTATAACCTTAAAACATCTGCAAACTTTTAAAGCATTCGGTTCAGCACATTCAAAATTAAATTGTAAAATGTTGTTTTATAGTTTTGATTTTTTTTTCCAAGAATCAGGACGTTTCGGGTAAAAACTCTATTCGGAGTCATAAACTACATGTTTAGGACTATGTTATTTTATACAATTTAAAACCTATTTATTATGTACAATTTTGAAGTGACGTCATCACATTATTGGTGGGGATGATTAGAGAAATTTCGGTTAGCGTTTTACCAATTGACACTACTAAAATTTGACAACAATCGGCCCAGTACTTTCGGAGATTATCTGCTAATATAAATCCGTGACGGCAAACAGACGGACAGACAGATGGACAGACAGACGGACAGACGGACAGACAGATGGACAGACAGACGGACAGACGGACAGACAGATGGACAGACAGACGGACAGACGGACAGACAGACAGACGAAAACGGGAGACCTATAAAAGTAGAAATTCGGCCGACGGACTCGATTACAATACTTCCTTTGCTTACTCTCGGGAAGTAAAAAGATTTAAAAAGTGAAGAGAAAAAGCGTTTTATTAGAACATAGAAGAAAAATTGAAAGGCACATCCACAAGGGAGTTACATAACCTCAGAATTAATTTTGATTAACGATTTACCATGCCTCCTATAACCTTAAAATCTGGATATCTAGGGTAAGAACTCAACAAGGATTCATAAATCACACATGCAGAAGTATATTATTTTATAAATCATGATCATACATATTTTGGTTAACATTTTACGATTTACACGATAACAACATACGTATAAAAATTGGCAACAATCGGTCCGGTAGTTTCGAAGATTATCTATCTAATAAAAATTGACGCAGACGGCAAACATATAAACGGATGGAAACGGGGGAGACTTATTTTTTTATACTTTAGGGGTCATGAAACGTCGAAAAAACATGTAACCATCGGGACTGGTTCCTACAACTCTTTCTTAGCTTACCCTTGGGAAGTAATAGTATATTATTAACTAAGGTTGTGAAGACAGACATTCTAGACCGAGCGCAAATTAGAACCTGAGACGCGCAGCGTCGAGGGCTCTAAAGCGCGAGGTCTAGAATTGGCTTCATAAACGTGGTTAATATACTATTTTTTCCACTAGTAGCCCATTTGAGGTTTGCGAATTTTCAAAATGTTTTTTCTGAAGTGCATCAATAAAAACGTGTACTCACGTCATTTTAGTAAGCTTTGGAATTTTATTATTTTTTGACAATCCAGAAATGGTCCAGAACTTTTGTTTTAATTTCCTCCATATTTCCCGTTTTTAATAAATTTTTGTGTGAAAAATGTTGTAAAGTGAACCATCATGTACCCCTCCTCATTCCGTCGTACTTACGCGACCGCGACAAATTTGGCTGAAAAAGGTATGGACCTTTTATCGTTAAAGCGACACGGGGAATGGAAATCCTCCAGCATAGCAGAAGGATACAACGACGGCTCGATCTTCAATAAAAAACAAAATCGCCGAAATCGTCCAAAGCTCATCTACGGCAAATCAAGTCAAACCAAATCGGAACCATGATTCAGTTTCAGTCCCGTAAACTTCATTTTCACTCCCATCAACTTCATCAACTTTGTTTCACCAATTTATCTTCAATTTATAATCAATTCAGGGTTTGGAAATCATTCCAGGGCATAATTTAAAAGCAAATTTTCCAAAATGATCGTTTTCAGGTTATGTCTCAGTTTTTCTGACAGTTGTGGACAGTTGTCACATTAGGTGGCCAACTTCACGTTTACATTATTGACCAAGGTTCACAATTTTCCAAATTACAGACCTCTAGACAAGTCGACAATTAGCCATTGTAATGCTACTAGTGGAAAAAATATTATTATTAAACATTTGTTTAGTAGTGAAATGTCATAGTTTAATTTCCATAGTAACTACAATTTTACAGAAGATTTTGAGGTAAAAATTTTGACGTAATCGGAACAAATGCTTTTCGAATTTAAATTAAACATTTCTGATTTAATTGGAAACATAACCAAAATAATTGTTAGAAACATTTTTTCCATCAGTGTTTATTGCTTTTCGTATGTATAAATTTTTGTCAACGAAACAAAATTATGATAATCAGAATTTATTAAAGCGCTTAAATATCCGTTATAAAAATTGTGGATTTCCTTTTAAAAACAAAACGTTAGTCTCGTCGCGACACCAAAGATGCATCGTATGTATGTATTATGCGTCAAGCTAAAAATATTAACGCCTACAAATCTTCTACATGTGACTACTTTGCCAAGATATATTGCAATAAATCACGTCTTAAACAAATTCATCTGCACAAACTTTTGTAACAAGAAAGTATTGCCTTAATTCTCGTTTTTCTTTTTATATCTGTCTAAACATTTTATCATTTTTTGATAATGGAAATCTAAAATAAAAATTTAGGTAAATATGTTATATCAATGTAATCAGACTTAATAGCCATTTAAAAATATGTATCGTATCAGTAAATAGAAATTTGCACTTGAACTAAAAATACTGGCGTTTACAGA